TTTCCTTCTAATTCAGCCTTTTGTCTTTCGTTCATAAATTCGTTCGCAAATTCATTAAAACAAGTGTTTTTCGTAAATGTTAAAATTGATTGAATATCATCAATGATAAAATGAAATCTGTCTATTAGATACCAAAGATAATAAGAAGAAAATGGTTGATATTGGTTGTGTGTTGATGCTAACTGAGTTAATTTCTCTGTTTCTGGTCAACTGGTAGATTGTTTGATTTCATGTAATTATACATAAAACTGCCAATTGTTTTTTCATCTGTGATAATATCTAAGTTTCTTATTATCGGTAAAAAGTTTATGTAATCATTAATGTATTTTTCATCAATGTGACCCTTTACTTCAGCCACGAATAAAGTATTTTTCTTCTTAATTATTCCCAGTGCTTTTGCTTTCTTTGTTGCTGTATCACAAATGATAACACCATTCAATCTTCCCGGCATATACATTTTATGGTCAGTATATTGAATGAAATCATGAGGATTAGATGAAAATGATGAAGGATATAATGAATTAAAGTCAACACCAACGAAATGAGTCATAATGTTGGTGGTGTCCTCATTTGATACAGTTTTAGTTTCTGGATTATATGAAAGTTTATTAATGTGCGTGATTCCTTTAAGATTAACACGATGTTGAACATTTGATAGACCACCAGTAATTCCATTACGGAGAATGTGATAAGCTTCAACTGAATCTAAAGTCATTGGTAAATTATTTTTTAATGCATAATTTCTTAAATTGATTCTTAAACGTTGAACATCTTCATCTTTATTTGATTTTACGACATTGCAATAACAACACATTAACTGACAATTTTCTTTGGTATGTGGTTTTTCATTATCGATTCTATCCAATGTTGGTTTATTTGCATATGTAAACGCTTTACCACACATTTTGCATTTAGATGAAAGGATTAAATCGTGATAGTATTGATAGTCATCCATTGAAACATTGTTTTTAGTATCCTTTTGCTTTTTCATCTTGTTTCTTATATGAATCAATTTTATATTTCCAATACTTTTTTGTTAATTCAAAACTTGATTCCACATTTTCTTCTTCTGGATATGTTTCGTTAGGATTGAAGTTCTTATATGCTAACGCGTAACGAATCATTGATGCATTCGATGATAAAGAAAGATTATGAAGCATGTCAATTTTATAAACAAATGTTTCTTCGATAATTTTATCAATTGGGTCAATCATAATTTCAACGTCTTTATTGCAATAATGAATAAAATATTCTAATCTATTCTCAAAATTTTTAGCATCATTGAGATATATTTGATAATCTGAATCGGATATAGTTTCTTGAGTTAATGCTGAATAAAATGAATCTTGAGTGAATGGTTCCACTTTATATAATTCTTCTTCGTAATTCTCCCATGTGATGAATTGATAAGGGAAAAAGGATTTAACACGTGATTTATTGTTTCCGAAATCTTGAGTGAATTGGTCTAATGTTCCACCCGCTATATAATTTCTGATGTCAATAAATCTTAATTCATATGGACAGTTTGTTTTCTTTACAATGATTTGCTTAAATTGAGAAGATGAACCCAGCATTGATTTTATTTTCCATTTTGCAGTGTTTAAATCACGAAGAATTAAATTTAAATCAAACTTTCCCGAATTAAAACCTATGATATTCACTTTATTGAATTCCTCATCTAAAAGCTCTTTCATTGCTTCCTTTTGTTTCTCATTTAATGTATGGGACAAAGTCCCCGCCGTTTGGTCCGTTTGCGGCTTCATTAATTCTTCATATTGTTCAATATTTGATTTAGCAACTAATGAACAGGTTGAAAATAAAAATTCAATCCAATCAGAGATGAACGAATCACTTGATGTTAAGCAAAAATTCCTCGTAAATGTTTTATCACGGTCTACGACCTCGCCGCTTTGCGGCTTTATTTTGACAGTTGATGATACCATAAATGGTTTTAAGTAAGCGTTCAAAGTTGCACATTCAGAAAGTTGAAGTTCTTCTTTAGTCTCTAATGTTTCGAAGTCAAAAGTAATATAATATCTTGTTGGTTTATAATATTCCTGCAAATTATGTGCTAATAGCCATTGATATATCTTCTGTTTCGTGATATGTGGTGCATATGGTTGTTGTGTGTTTTGCAATTGAACGTCTTGAATTAATCTTCCATTATTTTCTTTACATTTCTCACAATGTTTTAAAAATCTTCTTTGGTTTTTCCTTTCTGGATCATCACGGATAGAATATACTTCTTCTTTGCAAAAGGGGCAAACTTTATATCCTGTGAGTGCTTCAACGTCTGTAATTCTGTCAGCGTGAAGTTTTCCACATGGACTCTGTGTTAATAAAATATTTACTGTTTCAAATTCTGGATCTATCATTATTGATTCCACTAATGGAAAGTCTACCTTGTTAATGTCTACGTCTTCTGGTTGAGGGTCACAATAATAAAAATCAATATTAACGTTTAACATTCTTGCTAACCTCTCACTTTCTGATGAAATGTCAAACCCTTCATATGCATCTATTGCTTCATTTAAATAGCTTCTACGAGTTTTAGGATTAACACCATCAGGAATGTTATAGAAGCGTTTAAATAACCTTCTACCTTCTGCTCTAATTTGATTATCATTCATTTTAGCTGTTCCGTTTTTGTTCATTTATGTAAGAATAAAAATTAAAAAATAAATAAAAATAAAGTTTATTTTTTTTAAAGTCCGAGACTCAGAGAGTCCAGGGCTAAAGTCCATAAAATGAATTAAGAACACATAAATTTTTATCATCTGCGACGTGACGAATACATTTTAATTTACTCAAGAATGCGTACCCTGATACATTAAATCTAATTCCTGTCTTATTTAATTTCACAACTTTGAAAAGGAATGTATGAATAGCTATAAAATGATGAGATGATGTTTTATGGGTTGCTTCCATTTTTTCTGAAATAAATGAATAAATATAATGTTTATAAGTTTTCATATCTTTTATGTTCTTAATAACGAATGGTATAGACCTTTCAACTTCGTCTTCCTTCGGTGCTGTTCTTTCATATGAAACATTATTGGTATCTTCAATAATGAAACCACAATCGCATAAAATTTTATATGTACCAATTGTTTCTTTTGATATTTTATCTAACAAATCAAAAACTTTATCAACACCTGTACATTTATTTAAATAATAATTTGTGTAAATATCATGGTCTTCTTTCTTAATCGTATTTGTTGCATATGTTACATTTTTCAGTGCTTTTTTGAATTTTTCAGAATCAAGAGGAGGTGAAAGTAATATACATGGATAATCTCCATCGTCAATAAACTGAAGCTTATGTTTATGAATAAATTTAGTTCCTTCTTCTGAAAGTGTTTCGTCAATATCACCATCTAATAAATTTTTAGTAGATTCCAAAAAGTAATTTTTATATCTTTCTTCATGAGATTTTTGAACTTCTGATTCTGAAGCTGGGATATTCATTAAACCCTCTACTTCATTTTCATTATATTTTTCAACTTCTCTTAATTCCTTAATTTTTTCATCTATTTCATCTCTTATTTTTTCCAGTCTTTCAATTTCATCATATTCATCATCTTTAATCCGTTCTTCATAATATTCAGGGAAAACATCAGGTTCTTTAGGTTTTTCTTCTTCAGATGTGGGATATAAGAAATTTATAACATCATCTTTATTCATTTTTCCATCATAATCTAAATCATTTAAAAACTCCGCGAATTTTTGACAATTTCTTAAATAATATTTATCAACCTCATAACCTGCCTCCTCTAATATATCCTTTATTTCCCTGTTTGTGAATCCTAATTTTTTAACGTCGTTAGTTTTGACACTCATTTTCTTACGAATTAAAAAAATAAATTATTCAAAAATGTAAGACATGAATTTTTAAAGTTTATTTTTTTTATTTTTTTATTTCATTATGGTAGTGAATCTTTCATTCATGAAAATAATTATTTCTAATTTCTTTTATTCTCTCGTACATACTAGATTTGAAGAATTCGGAACTTTTACCATAATCTCCTAAATGTTTTCTTATCCCTAACGTGTGCCAGTTATTATATGAAACTGAATAAACTTTATCTTTATCTTTACACCTTTCATCACTTCCAATATATTTATATCTCAGTTTTGATTTAGCATTTTCATATTCATTAGCGTTTAATAATTCACAGTCTTCCTTTTTAAATAAATGTTTTATGTATTCAGGATTTAATACTCTACGTTTATATGCTCCTAACTTAGTTCTAAAGGTTTTTCTACAAAATTTAGGAATTCCATCCTCTTTAATGTCATCAATGATTTCCATTTCATTATTTTCAATTTCTTCTTCTCGTTTATGAGGTCTTTGATTATGACTCCATTGATTCCATGAAATTAAATATTCTTTATCATTATATTTATACCTCATTAGCTTATTTTGGCTTTCATATTCATTTAATAATTCACAATCTTCATTTTTAAATTGAAGTTTAACCCATTCAGGATTTAAACAATGTTTAATTAATCGCGGAATATCTGACATCATCTATATATAGCTTCTTTTATAAAAGATAAAAAAATAAATTATTTTAAAATTAATGTTAATTTTTTAAAATGTGTTTAGTATATAATATTTATTACTAATTTATTTAATAATGTCGCGCTTTCTTACGAATTCATGACTTAAAAAAACGTAAGAAAAAATTTTTATATCATCTATATATAGAAGATGTGAAAATATACCTTCATCTATATATAGACGTAACAAAAAAAGTCACACAACCCGTCCACATATACTACTATTTTTTCTATTTTGAAATTACTCAAAATCCTTCATAGGAAGTTTTAATTTCTCTGAATGTTACAACTTATATATGCCAATGCTATCTTTTATTTTAAAAGGATTAAAAATAAAAAATTATTAACAGATTTGAGAATTTTTAGTTTAGATTTATGTGGGATATATGAGATTAGAGAAAAATATGAATTATTTTATATATATAAAAATCAGATTTTTATAATTCTTTAGTTAAATCTGGTTCTTGTTCCTTTGGCTTTTCAGGGGTTGTCATATTCATTTTGTCATTGAGTTCCTGGATGTACTCCATGGCCTTTGCCTGTTCGTCCGGTGGCATATCTTTAGCAGCGAAGAGGAGAGTGAAGAGTTCCATGGCTGCAGAAGCTTTATCTATTGGAGGAGCTTCGAAATCGTATTTGTTCTTTGATCCCTGTTTAATCATTCTCAACATTGAGTTTGTTGATCTTCCTCCACGCATTGGAACATCTGCTGACTTGTTGTGTGCAGGGTAGAAGTGGACATGTGGTACACCAGGCATGAATGGGTATTTCAGCTTGCAACTGTTCTTGAGAATGTCAATATAAGCAAATTTAAGGTAAGTATAGTTAGAAAGGCTAGCAGCGAACTCAAGGTATTGTGGGAAGAATTCAACGCAGTTCTCGCAGCCCTCGCGCTTGTATAAAACAACAACATCGTAATTTGGATCCATAATGAATTGTTCGTAGGTTGTTCCGACCAATTGTTGGGTATTTGTAGTTGACTTGGGTGGCTCTGGCTCGCTGATGAATTCTGGCTTGATTTGTCCCAATAAGATTTTAGAAATAATTGTATTTGCCTTTTGAACCCACACTCCAACATTAATTGGCTTCTTGAGGAGTTCAGGTGTAAATTCGCTTGATGTATCATAATAGAAACCGTTATCGTAGTTAAATGCAACAACAGTAACTGTTTTTTCGTCAATAACAACGTGGCAGATGGATTCGGCGTAGGATTTCAAGTTCCTTGGTAAATAGCCAACAACAACACCGATTGCACGTTCACCTACTTGGTAAAGAAATTCCTGATAATCGTCATTAAGTTCTGGAGCAACGAGAGCGAATACGATTGTAGATTCACCACGAAGATCAGAAGGCATGAGGTTTCTGTACACAGGATATGACTGTGCGTATAATCCTTCTGTAAATTCGGAAGATTGAAAAACAGTGCGATCTTCTCCTCTAAAGAAAGCGAGCTTTGATGAGTTAATACCTAATGAAAGTAAAACTTGTGGTTCAACAGGAATGACGCCAACGTTCATTTGAGATGAAACATCGTATTGAAGGGAAACTGCTTTGTTGTAGCGTTCTGGAGTAGCCAGGAGAGCAAATGGCATGTTACCCAGTTGAGAATGAAGATCTGCAAGCGATTGTGTAGCTTCTGGCATTGGTTCGAGAATTAATCTCAAAAGGAACATAATTCCAGAATCAGATTCAGGATACATGTATGTTCCGCAAAGTAAACCAACGCGATATACAAATACGCATGGAATTGAAAGACCGTACTGTTTGGCTAATTCATCACAAGAAACTGGTTCAAGGAAGTAGAAATCTGCCTTATCGCCATAGTAATATGTAGCTTCGAGAATTGTCTCTTCTCTTGTTTTTGTATCTTTATCATCTGGCTTTAAACCAATTCCAATGACTGTTTTGAGGCCAATTGCTTTTTGTTGAAGCAAAGTTGCATTAATGCGTGGAACTGTACTTTCTGCAGTTAATGAATAAGGAACAAATATTGAATTAACAGTAGAAAAGAAAGCAAAAAACATGAAATTTTGTCACTTTTTGTGATTAATTCGAAATTTCATTTTAGTTTTTCTACGGAAAATGATATCTCCACATGTCAACTAATCGAATTTTTCTTTAAAAGTGATTTTTTATTGGAAATAATTGCTCAAAATGTATTTTCTTTCATAAGAAAACTACTAAAGCTTGTTGTGAAATATAACAATTATTGTAAATAAACATAGCTTTTATTATGACAAAAAAATAAAAATATATCCAAATAATCGAATTAGTGGGATGACTTTAAAAGAATTCTTGGATGAACTGACTTTGGACGAGCATCTAGGAGTTTAACTAGCTTCTTTGTTTGATTTTTGAGTGAAATTTTCCATTGATCTGATTCAGATCTTGCAATTGCATCCATTTTAGGTTTGCAGTATTCTTTAAGGTCTTTTGCAATAGCAAATAAAATTGTTCTTGAATCATTGAATTGCATTGCATTATCCCAAACTTTTTTAAGATCATCCTTCCATTGTTCAACTGATTTGTATTGTCCATTCTTTAATTTATCGAGAATTGTGCCGAGATCCATTGGTTCAAGAATTTTTTGGTAATATTCTTGAACAATTTTGTCTACAGGCTTTTTAAAATCATCTGTGAATGGAAAATCATAGACTTTCTGTGTAAATTTGATGCATTTGCTTAGTTGTTGAGGAGTCATCCTACTTCCCTGCATTTTTCACTCTAAAAAGTGACAACGGAAAAAATCACGTCGGCAAACCCAAATTTTAGCTAAAAGTGACAGGGAAAAAAAACGTTTAGTATTAAAAAAAAAGACCGATGAGAGCTTCGTTCGAAATATAGAGGGAACTGAGAATGCGCAACCATTCTCAGGGAATATTGGATGCTATTCCCGTTCCCTCTGTATGGAAAATTGAGGTTTTCAAAGGGAGTTAAAATAATATCAAATTTATACTAATTTACTTCAAAATACAAAAGTATTTGACAGCTAAAATTAGTTACTTTAGCAAGCCTATCAATACCCTTTTACGATTATTGTTACTTTTTCGAAATAAAAGTAAAAACAAATTTATACTAATTTACTTCAAAATACAAAAGTATTTGACAGCTAAAATTAGTTACTTTAGCAAGCCTATCAATACCCTTTTACGATTATTGCTACTTTTTCGAAATAAAATAAATTTATTATCAAAAACCTTTTTTTTTAGTAAAAATAAAAATGTTATTTTATATCAAGTTTTTATTCATAAATTTTTATAATGTTGTATAAATTTGAAGGTGGAAATCTGTAATAATTTTATCTTGAAAAGACTTGGCATTCTCAACAATGAATTGAGGGGTATTGCATCCAAATTCTGTAATTTGCGTGAGAATACTAAGCTTGATTTCCATTGGGATACTTAATTTCGAAAAATACTGGGTCATTCGTTTTTGAACCTTTGCTGCCTTGACAACTTTATCAAGTAGGTCATCTAAACCCAATTGAAGCGTATTTAAGTTTGCTGATGAGTTAACTATTAACGATTTAATTTTATCAGTGAGCATTATACATTTTTCTGTATCCAGTCTGATTGTAGACTTTTTTGGCTTTTTTTCAGATGGCAACGGATTTGGAATTTTGTCTCTGAGCCTTATATCTTGAGAAATTCTGTAATAAAATGAAGGAACGATAAAATCGATTAATTTCATCACAAATCGATCAAATCTCATGAAAATTGTTCCGCCAAAGTAGTAATATTTAATTTTTTTGTTAATCGATTCTGAAATGTTATTTGTGAGAGCTAAATTTTCATCTCTTTCAGCGGCTGTCCATCTTTCTTGGTTTGATATCCATTGATTTTGTATGTATTTTGAAAATTCTGGGAATTTTTCGGCTATTTCCAGAATTTTTTTGAACGTTGGTTCAATCCATTCTTTCTTGCCATTTCTGCCGTATGCAAGATAGTTCATTTTTGTATCTAATATCAATTTGTCTGAACTCTCAAATGCATAATCTTTCAAATTTTTTCTGAACGCCCTCATTACATGAACTGCACACCAATGAAGGATAACTTCTGGAAAAGAGTTGATAATCGCATTTTCGATTTCTTGTGCACAATCTGACATAAAATATTTTGGTTTTACTTTTGCCCAGTTAAAAAATGCCTTGAGACAGAATGCAATATTTTCTGAAGTGTTTGGATAAACGACAAATTGAAAAATTGGGAATGCATGTGTATTTGGAAATTTGGCTGATATCATGTAAAACAACATTTTAAATTCAAGTAATGAATGGGTTGCATCAATAAAATGCTCTTTCACAATTTTGATTATGTCCAGAAATTTGAAAGAAGCATAATAAAAGATTAATTTCTTTGGTTTGTTGTAATTATCGACATCGAAATAAATTAAATCTTTTGGTGACTCTTGTTCTTTGATACCCTTAAATAATTGAGTTGACTTGAATTGATTATCATCGTACTTTTGAATACCTTTGATCTTTTTATTTCCTTTTTCCTGAATTGTTTTCATTTGATCTGAAGATGCATTCAAAAAAGATGGCCTGTTAAGTGGATCATCCAGATCAAGTTTTTTGTCGCATTCAATTTGAGCCATTTTCGGATCACCCCCTGTTTTATAAAATTAATAAGTACCCGACGATAGCATTGTGATAATGTGTGGTATTTCTTTGTCTCATCTTTGATTTGATTGTGATTATGTGTTCCATTATATTCTGTTAGGATATATTCTTCATCATCCTTTAGAAATGAGATACATGCTTCACATTTATCTGCACTGCACCTGAATTTTAATTTTGTTTCCCCTAAATTTGGATTTTTTTTAATTGATATGGACAACCTGCATGGCATTCGTTATCAATGACAGCTGTCATAGCATCTATATAAGATAGCCTTTCTTTAAGTTCGCATGGTGCATCGATATGCATCAAAAAAATGAAATGAAATTTCAATATCAAAAAAAGCACAAAATTTGAAAAAATTCACAAATCTCGGTTTCTGAAAGAAAATGGCCTCTTAAACTTTGTGCATATATTCATTTATAAGACACATTGTATCCATATATTATTTAGCCAACACAACTTATCTGGTATCGAGAAAATTCAAAAAAAGCACAAAATTTGAAAATTGCTCGGTTCTACATTCAAAATAAATTTCATTAATTTTTACGTACATATTAAGGTACTTATCTTCTACATATATAATCTTCATTAGATATATACATGATAAATAAAATTCATAAAACATTAAAAATCAAAAAATTAGATGAACCTTGGCAATTAAACTTTATTAAATAATAGTTGTTTATAAATTATATTATATTATCATTTAATATTATTTTGATAATGAAGATTTTATTTTGCAATAATATAAACGAAATTTTTTACTTTATGAACTTTTGATGGAAATATGCAAATTTAAAATAATAAAGAAAGCCGCGAGCGAAGCGATCGGCTTAGTTCGAAGATTTTGATTCAAATCTTTGCTGATCTGTAATTCGCGGAAGCCGCGAGCGAATCGAGCGGCTTAGGTCTAAGATTTTGATTCAAATCTTTGCTTATATTCCTTAAATTCTTTATGAAACTCGCAACAGTTCCATAAAAAATTTTAAATTCTAAACTGTCGAAATGACCGATCGGTAATCACACCCTTCACGGGTGTGTCGCTTTTTACAGGCGTGTCGCTTTTAGCTAAAATTACCCCTACTCAAATCACGTCCATATAGCAATAATTACAGAAAATCCACGATATGGATCTCAAACGATATGAGTTCTGCCACATTAGTTTCTTATCAAACATTTTGAAGTATATTTTGATTGATGCTTTGGCGAAGTATGAAATTAGAACTGTGCAAACAAAACAGGAACCAAAATCCATGTCCGTTTCTTTTTGAGTTGTTCCCATCAATATTAATATAACTCAGAAATTAATAAGTTTTAGCTTTGAAGAATCTCTTCATTCTGCTATTATAGTTTCAAGGATAAACATATGTTGACTATTGTTGAAACTAACTATGATTAAAATAGCATTGTAAAGAGTTTCGATATTTACATAAATAACATAAGTTTTTATTCAAACAAAATAAAAATAAAAAAAGTTAGTCGAGAAGAGCTAAAATCAAAGGATCTCTGCTCGGACTTGCATTAACATTTTGGCTAAATTTATAATTTTCGTCCATATATTCTATGTTATCATTCATAGATTGAGACAATTGAGATTTCTGAGTAAACCTAATTGTTTCTTCTAATGTTGGGACTTTTCCATCGTGCATTTCTCCTTCGTGAGCAGGTTTCATTGATAAAATACTTTTACATATTCTTTTTACATTAGGAGATATTTGAGAACAAGCCTTTCTTATTGGAGAGTTAATAATTGATGTCTTTGTCTTAATGGGAGATCTGATTATCGGTTTGATTGGTGAATCAATGTCACTTTCTGAACTCATGTCAAATTGTGATCTTGATTTCGTCTTTTTAGGGCTTAAGAAAGGAAGAACTTTTGATTTCATTTCAGATAGATGCTTGTCGATGTCTTCTTCGTCATCTGAATCACTTTCTTTATCATTCATTAGCCAATCTCCAAGACTAACACCAGAAGGAGCTCTTGCTGGTTCTGAAACTTCTGGAGGAGATTCTTGAGAACTTTTTTGTGGCTTTGGTAAAATTTTTGGTGATTCTTTGATATCCTTAATGTTCTTAACAGATTCATCAGATTTAATGGGTATTTTATCATCTAAAACCTCATTCTTTTGAGTGTTTTTCGTGGAAATTTGAGAGTTTTGGGATTTGAATTTTTGGAGTCTTTCTTGTCTATCTTCTTCAAGCAATGCATCAAATATATCTTGAGGTGGAACTGGAAAGATAGGTTCTTCTATTTGTTTTGTTTCTTTCGGTTTAATGATTGTTTCAGGAAGCTTTGTTGAGCATAAAGATGGTTTCTTGCTGATTTGCTTAATGAGATTTTCCTCTTTTTTAATAGATTTGGCTCTCATTTGAGATGCAGTGAAGAAGTTTTCAATTGATGGTGTGTTTTCGCTAATTTGCATTAGTGTTTGAACTGTATCTGTCTGAGTCGATAGATTTTTAGCATACGCAACAGGAGTTTTCTTTGCATTTGGTTTCTTAAGCTTTTTATAAAGTGTTTTTCTGTAATTTGATGGATCTATAAAAGTTGTTGAAGCTGCTTGAGCATCAACCCAATCAACAGGAACAATAGGTATAGTTTTTGTAGCAATTGTATGTTGAGAAATGATGATATCTGGATTTGAATCGACAATTATTCCTTGCATACCATGAATTTTATTTTTAACACGCTTACATTCAATCTCATCGTCAATCATGACCTTTATTTTGATATTGTCTAAGAAATAGCTTAAAATTTTCTTCGTTATAAATTTATTGCTAAATAAATCGATTTTTCTCTCTATCATTTGGTTAAGTGCCAAAGGAGTAATTGTTAGACACTTTGGTTTCATTACGCTCATTATCTGGATCAATGGAACTATTGAAATATCGGCTTTGGAAGGATTATCGATGATAACAATATTTCCACAATACGACTTAAGCTTTGAGGTCACGTCACTGATCTCATTTTCCTTCAGAAGGTTAGAGATAGCAACTTTGTGACTCATCGCGAAAATTATAAACGTGCATTATCAAAATCATAACAAATTGCTAAAAATTGTGCACCGATACTTGATCAAAAATAAAAATCGTTTAAAGTAAAATACAACAAAGTGATAGATAATTACCAAGCTGGCTTAAGTTCTGGGTAGATTTTTTTGTAGTCATGGTGCAAAGTATTGTCATAAAACTCATTTTTAAGGATATCACCCATAGGAACAAATACGTTAGAGAAACAACATGTTGTATCAATACCATATGCACCTAAACCAGTATTTGCATAGGTAAGATATATTGCTGGATTCTTTTGATAGATGCAATCTTTCTTGAAAAACTGTTTCATTTGTCGAACAAGTTTTCTTTCTCTTCTGTTTGATGGAGATCGGAATTCGTCACTCAAATAAAAAGGACAGTAAGAATATCGAGAAACAAACATTTATGCACCAGCAATTTGTTTTGTAATTGATACTACAAAGAGACTTGGACCGTAGAAAAAGAACACACGGTCATTGAATACACCACGAAATGCGATGACAGGATAGTAATATTCGTCATTCAATCCTATTTCCGACTTCTGACTTTTATTTACAATATAATAAACATAATCTTCGTTGATTTTTGGTATGAGATCATAGGAATGATCATAATCTTGATATACCCATTTATCATTTTCATATTGTTCCTCAATTTCCTCATTAAAATTTTGAATTTCTTGATTTTCATTTATTTTTTGATATTTGTTATCAGATCGCTTTAATATTTGATTAGAGAATTTATTTTCTTTGGCAATGAACGTTTCTTTACTGTTGTTTACTTGAGTCACATTTGAATTATTAAGTTTCTTTGGTCTAAATCTAGGGGGATCTGATTGCATAGCAGCTACTGTATCACCGAATGTGAATGAACGTTTTGGATATACTGGATTATATATTATTTCGTTTTCGTCAAGTAATTTCTTCTTAAATTCGAAAAAATTTGGAAGATCGCAGTTCAAATCTTGAATTTGAGACGATAATGATTCTGATACTGGGAAAAGCAACAGTTTTGCAATCTTTAACATCCTCTTTTCAACTGATTTAGTTTCATTGGCTTTACGAACAACTACACGTACAACTTTTGGAGTAATACACCGATAATATTCATATGTAAGTTCTAAATATCCGATATCGTTATTTTTGTTAATAAAATAATAATCACAACCAACAATAACGTCAACATTTTCTCCATCACAACATATTGGTATGATCGGGAATGGATATTTAATTTGAAAATCCTGTAATGATATTGAAGCAGGAACAATTACCTTGTTTTTATCATATTGAGAATAAATCACTGGATGCATCGTGATAGCTCTAAAATCAGGTCCTCTTTCGAGTGAACCCATGTAATAGTTATATGGATTTGAAATGCAGTCGAGACTGGAAGAATTGCACCCGCCCATTTTAAGGATTCACAGTCGACGATACATAAACTTCTCAAAATTTAACTTTAATTATATTGCCATGCATGGAATGGAACACTTAAAAGAACCCAATTGTGTTTACATTAAAGATACCTTTATTAGACTAACTTATCGTCTACATCGTAAGGATAATTGATTTGAATTAAGGATACGATGTAGACGATAAGATAATTGAGAAATGAAAATTGTTTTGAAACTATTAATGGTGCACAGATATCTTCTCAAAAAGAGGAACACATGCGTGATGGGGCATAGATATTAAAACATTTTAAAGAAAATTTTAGGGAGTGTCAAAAAGTGCACACTTAATTTCTGATAAATAATACTAAATATTGAATTCTTAATAATAATATCTAAGTCATTTTTCATGAAGAACTGGTTCGCTTTGTTATCTTCGACAACGAGAACTTTCATGTTGTTGTGGTTTTCTTCTGTCTTGATTGGTTTCTGGACAAATGTCTGGTTCGCATGTCCAAATCTGTGTGTGTTGATGAAGTGGATGAAGTGAGTTAGTATACAAGTCTTGGGTACGGCGGCACTGCGTTCCACCTTACCCAATACTTGTAAATTTGACACTTTACAAAGCCGCCAACCACTTCACTAACGAACTCACTAATGTAAAAAATAAACGTTCTCACTATCGTTCTCACTAACGACTTCACTAATGTTCTCATAAATTTTCCTCAATATCTTCATCATCAGTGTTAACCCTATTGTAGTCATACTTGAAGCCATAAACTTTCTCTAACTTCTTAACGTACAATTTACATAACTTACTTTCGTCATCGTATGGTTTAATGATATAACTATTTCTATCTTTATACACAGTCAATGAAAAGTCAACTGGTCTCGGATGTATTTGAAAGAACATGTTATGCTCAGGAAGGAAGAATAAATGTTTAAATGTATGTTTGTTATACTGTGGAATTCGAATGAGTTGCTTTTGTTCTGTCATTTACATCCAAATAAAAATTTTCAGTAAAATAAAAAATAAACTTAAAAATTAATGATATCACCACCCTCACACGTATGAAAACATAGCACAAAAATAAATTTAGGTGAAGTGGTGAGATCTCACCTCTTTTTTCACCTGTTTTTTCACCCTGTTGAATTCATTGCTTTATAACTCTCTTCCTTGGTTTCTTTTTAGTTGCTTTCTTCACGTCTGTCTCCAGCTTGACTGTCTTTCTTCTTCGGCCGTAATGATACCAGTTACTTCCACCAGTCAATAGGTCAAATGGTCGTTCATAAGGGTTTCCATACATTCCATAGGGACCATACGGAAGAACTACTAGTGGAGAAGAAACATTTTCTTTAGTTCCATCGACTCTATTTAAATGCATTGTTTCACCTTTCATCTGGTCATTAAAGTCTTTTGCGTGTTTTGCAAACTCATCGTCCTTTCCTAAAGCATTTTCTGACTCAGTCGCAACCAAATTGGATGCTTTATTTATGAGCCCTATTTTATTTAATCTTAACTTCTTTGCAACCCAGCCTCCAATCTTCCCTTTATTTGCATCTAATGTCTTCGAAACCCTTCCTCCACTCATTTTATTTACTGCGTCATAAGCTTCAAGTGCTTTTGCTCCAAATGCTAATGCTTTTGTTCCCATTGCGCCTAAAGCTGCCCAAGCTACCATTTACACCATATTAAAATCATCTCTCTTCAATATTATCTCATAAAAGTTCTCGTTACTGGAGAAAGTCAATGAAACATAAGCGTTCTCACGGGCTTCGCCCTCACCGCTTTGCGGTCTATCTAACTTATTTCTTATATCATCTATACGCTTCAAAATGTCTGAACAATTGCTAACATCTTCTACAACAGTTATTTCATCATGAATGACCTTCAAGAACAAGCTCATTTAATATGCTATTAAAATCATCTCAATAATGAGTCCATCCTTTCCGTCTTTGGGTAGCACAACATCTTTCATTGAAGAAGGTTCGACAAGTCTTATGTTAAACTTACTGACAAAGTTTGTTATACTATAATGCTTCGGCGGCGAATACATATAGTTTGAAAGACATAATATAGATTCTTCAGCAAATTCACTTATACTGGATTTTATAACAATGTTCTCACGAGACCAAATACCACCAATTGACAATCTTGTAAGCAATCCTGCTGAACCTTCTACTGTAAACGTCGATGGTAACATTCCACGAAGGTCATCTATTGACATCGTTGAGTCACTGTATTTAAATATTTTCTTAAAGCAATCGTCATTATCTAACCATGCAATAGCTTTGAAGTTTTCATTCGAATAGACATCTGCTTCATTAAATGTAAATCCTGACTTCTTTGCAGAGACGACTTTAAAATCTATTGAGTTTGTTTCAAAATTATATGCTATGGTAACTTCTGAAGGTAATGGATGTCCTTCCGCAGTCAGTTGTTCTCTCACTACCGTTTGAAGCTTTGTATTAAAAACTTTCATGTCATCTCCTGTATCTAAGTTCACATACACAGCAACAGGGAAACTATCTTGCTTCTTTGTTTCATCATTATATCTCAAAACATTAAAGTTCTTCAATAATATTGTTCTTCCTGCTGGAATACTTCGAACCTGTCTGATTTCAATAGCTTTCTCACCTCCTACATACTCTACCCAGTGTCTTGGATATTCATAAGTATACTGACTTTCTTGAATTTTGGTTGGTTTCATCATAACATGTTCATAGTATATATTTATACTCTTGTCAGTTAGACTCGGTGCTATGTTCTGAATATTTCTGACTTGCATTTTTAATGGAGATAAAATGAAGCATTTAATACATGACGTAGATGAAGACATGAATGAAACTACAGACAAACTTAACTCTTCTCTTATTCTTCCTTTCAGTAAGGACTATGAGTTCTGTTCAAATGGTGTTTATTTCTATTGTGGAAAGATGGGTTCAGGTAAGACATTTAACCTCATTCGTCATATACTCATAACAGAACGTTTAGGAAACGACTCTTACTATGACCAAATCATTATATCAGCAACTTCAGACTCTATGGACTCAACAGCGAAAACATTTATGTCAAAAGTTCAAGCCTCTGTCGTTAAAGTTCCAGACAGTGAACTCATTGAATTTCTTCAACGTTACATTCGACGTAAGAGGAAATATTATGCCATCGTAGAGTTCATACAGTCAGGAATGCAAAAGACTTCTGAGGAGATGGAAAGAATTATTGACAAACACCACTTACGTCAATACTCAGGAGTTTACAATATGAAACGACTTACAAACTACATTCTGTCAAAACTTTCAAAATACCCCTTCAAAAAATATCCTTCAAACACTCTGCTCGTTTGTGACGACTTCGCCGGAAAAGGTTTAGTGTCAAAACCAGACTCACCATTAGCTAACATCATTACTAAAGTCAGACATTACCACTTAACTGTAGCAATACATATGCAAACATGGAGGTTTTTAGCTTTAAACATAAAACGTCTCATAACTGACTTCGTTATCTTTCAAGGTTTCTCACGTTATGATATTGAACTCATTTGGAAACAGTCAGGTATAACATTACCTTTTGAAGAAATTTGGGAAGCATATAAGTCTCTCATCTCTCCTCGGTCATACCTTGAGATTCATATCATGACTAATACCATTAAAGTCAAAAATATTCCATGGGAACGACCAACATTGTTTTAAAGTTTAACCTTCAATTGACTGATGGTAAACAAATTCCATGCATCTCTGTCGCCATTTCTGTTAATATTTTTGCTGTCATTCATATCATCCACTTCCCCATCCGTTAGCTTTTGAGGATATGCGTTAGAATAGCTGTTCTTAAATGAAGGCTTTTCACCTTTGAGAGCATAAACTCTATAACTTTCTGCATACTTTATGTTTGAACCTCCTGAGCCATCATTGACATAAATTTTTATAGGCTTCCACCCTTTGTTCATGTTCCTGCTTCTTCCCTTAGCTCTTTTGTTCAGTAGTTCTACATTTTTATACACAGCTCCTGTCTCAGTGAATTCAACAATATTTTCATTCGTTAGCTTTACATTCAAACCCTTGTCGAGTATATTGTTCATTTCATACATATAAAAGGTTTTTATTCTATATGAAATGAGAAGCAAATCCATCTTAGCTGGTGCCGTTAATGTTCCAATTGAACCAACATCAAATGTTGACTCACGAACGACAAACAATATTGTCATAAAGAACTATAGTTCAGAGTGTTTGAAAGAAAAAGAACCAGAACTTAAGTCGGGACCTTCGGTCTTGGAGCATGGCGCCGTGAATTTAAACACAGCTTCAAACGCTAACGCTACATCAGATGTTAAGTTAGAGTATCCACCACTGGACCAAATTCTTTCAAGAGAAGCCAACGACAATCCTTACACAAATGTTCAAACAAATCCTTCAGATAACGTAGACCATTACCTTCTTCAGTTATACCAAACAATTTTACTCAAAGACGATAAGAAGCTTTTGACAAATCTTATAAGCAAGAACCAAATAATTCTAACAAAGGAGGACCTTGAAAATGTTATATCACGAATAACAGGGAAACAATGTGTCATTGACTATCTCGACCCTGAAATCGAATGCTGTGGTCAAACGCCATCATTCATGAAAATAGGTAACATCCGCATCATTGAAACACCAGGAACTACAGGAGTTGAGTTTAAGTATAAATATTCGAACGAGTATACAAAACTTTCAACAGAATATAAACTTTGCTTGAAATATGTTTTAGTAAATTAAAGCAGTCAGGACCTTCGGTCTTGGCGCTTTGCGCCGTCAGTCAAAAAATTTCAAGTTAGCAATTTGTAATATCTATCCAAAACTTCTTCAACAGTATCGAACTCATCTTCATAATGCAAACCTAATCTTATTGACTTGGTGCAGTTTTCACTAACACAATATTTTTCTGTTCTCTTGACTGACATAACTAATTCATTTGTTTCATCAAACAGCAACAACCAAAGTTCATGACCTAATACATAACATTCATACTTTATATTTTTAGCTCTGAGTTCTCTTGTAAGCTGTTGCATTTAATATTTTCTAAAAAGTCAACTTCAACAGTCATTCACACTGGTGCCTTCAGTTCTACAGGCTCTCCTTGAAAGTCAACAAGTCTGAATTGCATGTCTTTCAAATTATGAGGACTAATGCGAACCCATTTACCTAAATGAGTTGCTATGACAGGAACGTTTGGAATGAACATTGAATTGACTGCATAACAGAAGGATTTATATTCTACTGAACCTTTACTATTAACTCCTGAAATGCCTGTGACATTAGCTATTTTAGACTCAATGTATAAACAATTACCATAACATACGTATGGAACAGATTTCATCTCAATCGTTTTGTCAACACTTTTCAAAGGAAATGTCATATGGTATGCTCCCAGAAGCAATTGAACTCTATGACTCATTCTTGGTATCTTAAACTCTTTCTCGCTGCTGAACTTCAATGTTCCCTCAGAAGAGAGTTCGACATCTATGTTGTCAATAGTTTCTTCATTTATGAGAGTATCTATGACTCCAGCAATTTTATCTATTCTGTACTCGGCTCTGTTAGGAAATGTTATAACACTTCTTTTGTCATCTATTTCAATCTCTATGAAATCTGTTTCATCTGTTATGACAAAAGTTGCGATAGTATTGAAGTCAACAACTCTGAAAGCAAGCGCTTCATTCTGAAGACCTAAGTTTGTTTGTAGCTTTACTGTCCCGTATTCGTTTGGGTCTGTACTTTGCAAATAGAACAACATTTTATTCTCATTAAAATATGACTATTGCTGCATATGCGTATGAAACAAATGAAGCAAGAAGAGCACATGAACTAGTAAACGAAAACTCAACTTTAACAGTGGAAGGTAACAATTTAGTCATTGACGATGGAAAAACTAAAAAAGTCATTGATTTCGATACTTTTAACACTTATGACCCATTCATTACAACAAGCAAGGTTCCTATCATAAATGATGGAACGGTGCAATATATAAATTCTACAATAGATGCCTCATTAGTGAAAGTATTAAATGTTCTCATTGAATTGTTAAAGAGCTTTCGATTTGACGACAACATTAAATGCCTAAAGAATTTAGTCATGAATGAGAAACAAATTCTCGGCGTTGCTGGTAGCAGTAATGATGTACACCTTATGACATTAGAATATTATAACGAACATAAAGATGAACTGAAAGGAGAGAAGGGTGACACCGGACCTCAAGGACCACAAGGAATACAAGGAATACAAGGAATACAAGGACCTCAAGGCGAAAACGGTTTGGATGGTGAAGATGGAAAGGATGGAAAAACTGCTAAATCATGGATATGGAACCTTATAAATACTGGTTTAACAGCTGCTTCATATGGAGTTCTTCAATACCAAATCGGAAAGATATGGGCAGTACTTGGTGAAGAAGTTTTAGATGACGTTAAAAATGCTTTGAACTTCATTTCAAATGGTTCTGATACTATTAAAACTTTATCTGGTTGGATGCAAGAAACAAGGAGTCAAATAGATACTGTAAGACGTATAGCAAACAATGCACGTACGGGATTGGATACTTTACGAGAAGCACAAAATACACTAAAGGAAGCAAATGATATTCTTGGCTCGTAAAGTATCCAAGACAACGCAAGAGAAGAAGCATATATAACTTCAAACTCACAAACTACCGAACAAATAAAGAAAGTAGATGTTTTCTCAAAGACTCGACATGAAGATGTATGGAGTCATTCGGGAACATGCAGAACAGGACAAATTGTTAGTGGTCCAATTACAGCAGGAAAATCATTTGATTTTAAGCTTCGTTTAAGAATTCCTGTTAGAAAATTCCTTCCATTAGAAGCTATTCGATTTATTCCAGCTTTTGCAGGAAACATTCAGCTTAAAGTAAAGTTCAGTAGCGACGCCTTACAATGCACATCTATATCTGTAAATGATATCATTGCTTTCAATCCAACTCTTAAAGTTGCATTTGCTTCAGATTCAAATCCACCGACAAATAAATTTGTTCCATGGAATGAACCATTCACTATGATAACGAAGGCAGTAGAAGCTAGTGGAACAGTTACTATTACAACTGTAACCCAGCAACTATTTCGAACAAAGATGGATTTTAATGAATGTTTCATTCATCCAAAGTCATTCTCTTTAGACCCTAACATTTATACAGAACTTGTAGAACATTATACAAACGAGGCTTTATGTTTTCCTGTTAAAGTTATGGATTGGATTCCTATGGACGGTTCATTCTCAAAGAATACAGATAGTTCAAGTGCAACATTTACAGCAGCTTATACGCCTATTAATGTTAAAAGTATTTGGGCACTATTTAGAAAGAAAGACAACTATTATGTTAATTTTGAGAACCCTAAGTTTAAATATCTTCAGCTTTCCATGGGAGCTTATGGAAATATGCCTGCAGAACCTGAAAAATCATATGGACCTGTATTTTATGAAATGGTTGCGAACGCCTGCAATACAAACAATGATATGATAGGATTTAATGAAGATGTTATGAGGTCATTGGTGGATGATGGTAGTGTGGAACATAAATGGGATAGCTATGACAACACACATTTCTTATGTGGTTTTCCAACAGAAGTGGACTTTTGCTTCCAGCAAGGTCAAACATCTACTGCTCCAATAACATACAAATTGTCTGTTAAAGGACCTATTGAACTAGCAACTGAAAACGTACCAAAGCCACTTATTGGATTTATGAGGGATTGTTGCTTTGCCATTCAGGTGCGTGCTAATGGCATCCCCATAATAAGATTAGATGACTATAACTTAGCTACGGACGACAGTGAGGAATAAAGGGATGAACGTTTATTTTTAAAGCTTATAAATGAGTTCTTCATCAAGCTCTCGTGAACCTTCACCATCTATGAAACAAACTTTACCAAACGATTATGGAGCACCTATTGAATATTTCTTACGAGCTGCACAATGGCAAAGAGCAGTCTCACCAAGGTTAGGTGTTCCACCAGCTCCTGTCAAAAATAGCATTTGGTCAAGTCCTTATATAAAATATGGTCTCCCACTAGGTTTGCTAGCTACAGCAGTAGCAGTTATGATGTTGAAAAGAAACAAAGCAAATGTTGTAAATAATACTGAAGTAGCTGAAGTTAAACAAACTCCAACACCTTCACAAGCAAAACCTTCAATGACTCCTGAACCTATGGAAGTACAAACTCCTGTTCAAAAGTCAACTCCTAAACCGACTCCAACATTTAAACCAGAACCTACTCCTCAAATAAATCGTAAAACTCCTGCGTTTCCTTACTGAAAAAATAACGTTATTTTTATTTAATATTAAAATTTTTATTTGATTGAAATGACAAATAAAGTCACTGAAGCAATGAAACAAAAGTTTTTGGTAGAATACATTAAATCAGGAACTATTCCAGAAGGTTTTTACATTCATACTATGAAGGATGATAGAGTTCAGTTTAGAAAGATAAAGCAACCATTAGATAGAGAAGGTATATTAAGGAAGATTAAACTTCATGAGGACAACATTGCTGAACTTAAGAAGAAGTTAGAAGAGTTGGAGAAAGGAAGAGAGTTATAAAGCAATGAATTCAACAGGGTGAAAAAACAGGTGAAAAAAGAGGTGAGATCTCACCACTTCACCTAAATTTATTTTTGTGCTATGTTTTCATACGTGTGGGAGTGGTGATATCATTAATTTTTAAGTTTATTTTTTTATAAATGACAGAACAAAAATATAACATTTCTACTCAGCAGGAATGAGACCCTTACTGACTATGTATTCGTTTAATGCTTGATGAAAACAATGGTACATATTATCGTATGGGTATACACAACGTCTGTTTCCATCGTCGTCGTATATGTAGAGCTCAAATCCAGTCCAACCTTCTTTTGTACAATATGTAGCTTTATTTAAGTATGCATTTATGTAGATAAGGCAATTTTCTTCATCGCTCCAGAAATAATTTTTGTTCTTTGTTGAAATAGTTTTCGTTCCTCTGCGACCATAAGGAATGTATGCAATAAATTTAGCATCATAAGGTATTATAATATATTCAGGGTTTCTTTCATCGTCAATGGGTCTGTCTTTGTTAAAATGCATGTTTCTCAGTTTTACTTGAGTTTTGAATAGTTCACGGAAACGTTCTGGGAAAGAGTCATAGTAAATGTAGTCAGACATGTCTTTGTAATGAAATAAAAAATTAAAAAAAAATAAAAATAAGGTTATTTTTTATTTAGTGAGGACGGTAGTGAATTCGTTAGTGAAGTCGTTAGTGAAGTCGTTAGTGAAGTCATTTATGTGTCAAAACCGCTAAGTGGTGTACGGAGGCGCGCAGTGCCTCAGTACACGACTTAGTCTTACTAACTATGTTTTCGTTAAGCCACTTTGTGCCGTCAGTCAGTCAGTCAGTCAATGAAATTTACACCAAAAATAATGTTTAGGGTAGATGGTTAGATCTAACCCGATAACTACCCTCATTTCTATCCTCACGAATTTTCATGAATTTCCTTAAGATAGAAAAAATAAAGTTAGTTTTATTTTTATTTATTTTTTTATTTTGTATAAAAGATATGATTTCAACAATCGGCACAACAACAATTCAAACAACAGCACCAAACTCGTTAGTCATGAATCCAACATCTATGTTAGTAGAGATGAAAAACTTCATTCCTTCTTCATTTACTTTCGAAACAGAAATACAAAGAATAAAGCAAGAACTTTTAACAAGTAATTTAGACTGTACCGCACAGGATGAAGAAATTGAAGAATATCTTTATGACATGCAGGACATTATTGACCATTTACCCAAATTGCCTGAAATCCAACAACAAAAACTCACTATTCCTGAATTCGATGAAATAGAAGTGAAACCAACTGACTCAGTAGAAATAAAGAAGTTCATACGTAAAGTAAATTATGAGTTTCTAGGATATCAATGCAACCATAAAGTTATGGACAAAGATTGCGACATGGTATATAAGAACATCTCTGACATATATAAATCGAGGGAGTTTAAGACATACGACAACTTTGTTTCATTAGTTGCAAAATGTGTATGGCAGATAAGAGATAAAGATAGAAGAGGTAAAGTATGGAATGAACAGATAAAACCAGCAGCTTTTGAGTTAAAGAAAACCATTGACGCCTTGGTTGTTCTAGCTGGTTTTATTTCAATGTATAACGCAAAAATGAATCCGCAATGTTCTAAATGTAAAGCAGCAATGAGGAAATATAACTACTCCGTCAAAGAGATAGAACGTATGAGAAACGACTATGCAGACTTAAAGAAAGAAGCAGAAAAACCAGCAGAAAATAAAATGGACCTGTTAGCATTTCTGAATAAAAACTATCCAACTGCTGACGATTTCCTTCTATCTGACGTCAAGAAGAAGTATAAAGAAACCTTCGGCATTGTTAAAATTTTTGATCTCCTCAGCGAAGAAATAGAAGCTACAAAACTGTTTAGAATCTCACGAATTCATAACGTTTACCATGTAAAACGGTTATAAATAATGAGGGTAGAAATGAGGTTAGATATCGGGTTAGATCTAACCATCTACCCTAAAATATATTTTTATTGAATTCAGCACAAAATTCTGAGTAAAATAATTTTTAGGGCATGTGTCAAACCGTTGAGTTTTCACAAAATTTAAAAAATAACGTTTACCATGTAAAACGTTTATAAAATAACTGGGGTAGAAAAGAGGTTAGATATCGGGTTAGATCTAACCATCTACCCTAAAATATATTTTTGCTGAATTCAGCACAAAAATAATGAATTTCATTAGTTAGAAAAATAAAACTAACTTTATTTTTATTTATTTTTTTATCCGGAATATAAAGACAGATATGTCAACAACAGAGAATACAACAACAGTTATAGTCCATGAAGCCATAAATGAAGAATACGAATACATACAATATAACAAACAGTTACGTCTCATTCGTTCAGTCAAAGACGACATGTACCAGATGCAAAGTATAATGAACGCTCTTCGTTCTACAAAGCAAGCATATCATTGGTTTGAAAACCAACAGACAAAAGAACTTTTAGAAGAATTTCCTCATATGATTGCTTCCCTCGGAAAACCGAGAGAAGAGATTCTGTACGAAAATCGCAAGAATTTGGCACCTGGTTTGAAAGGTTATTATATTCATAGACTTTTAGTAAATGCTGTAGCAATGTGGGCTTCACCTCGTTATGCTTGTTATATTTTCATGATGTTAGATGAACTATATAAAGCAGAACGTGGAGAGATGGAAAACAAGCTTGAAGCAAAAGACAAAAGCATTCAGAAAAGAATACCACGTTCGGTACCAAAAGGTAAGGAAAAGAGTTATAAGTATATGATTTACACCGAAGAGTTGGAGAAAGAAGAAGACAGAGATATGGTTATGTTGCATTTAGTCAGAAGAAACAACAAAAGCTTTTACGACCTTGCTAAGATTTACAAATCTGACAGAAATTGGTTCTATCGCGAAAACTTACCGATTTCAATGACCCCAAATGAAGATGTGAAACAAATAGTTCAAGATACGTTACCTCAAACACACTATGATATTAAAGGTTGTACAATACTTACATTCAAAGAAGACTTAACATTACTGAAAGAAAAGATAACAGAGTATTTTGACAACTTCAAACAAGTAGGGTAGATGAACACTTAGATTTTTCAAGCTTGACGTTTTACAATTTGAACTTTGTTTGCGTAGATATGAATTCTGAAAGAAGTATGAGGGTCTTGTATGACTTTGTACTTCTCCCATAGTTCATGTCTGTCAAACTTACCTGCCATGGACTCTTTCATAAGTTCCATGAAATCGTCTTCGGACAATCCGGGAAAAAGTATTATGTCAGTAAGTATTCTTTTAACATCCTTACTTAAACTCTTTGCTGTCTGTACACATATTACGACTGAGATGTTAAAGTGTCTGAGCTTCTTAAGAATTCGACACATATCTTGTTCTCTGTTCTTTAACAAAGGATGAGAGGCGAAATCGTCTAAGATAAGAAGACACCTATGAGGGTAAGTCTTCCAATCGTAAGATTGCAATTTCTTCGAAATGTATTCTATCTCTTTCTGTTTGTTTCTGAAGTGTTTCTTCTCTAATATTCTCTGCATTTCCTCATTTGGGTCTTTAAACTTAGAATTTATATACTCATTTATAGCATTATACTTCAAAACTCTTCTTTGGTACTTCTTTATCCAATCTAACAACTCAGTATCCTTTATACATACTAACTTAGACTTCTTTATAATATCTTTGAACGAATTGACGGTTTGGTCAAATTGACCAGAAGTCGAACAAATAACAACTAACTCATAGAATGGGTTCTTCTCATCTAGTTCTTGTTGTTGTGCAGCCATTTTAAGATAAGTGAAAGTCTTACCCGACCCAGGTGGTGCAATTAGACCTGTTATACCATTCTGAGCAAATAAGAACTTGTCATGTATAGGCTTTATCTGAGCATTTTCTAACTTCCTCTTGTTCTTGTTTAAAACATTCTCAAATTTCTTGTCAATGTCAGCAAACTTTTTTCTAACATATTTTTAGAAAAATTAAAATTTTTATCTTTTAGAAAATGTCTAGCGATTTCGCTATCTATATTCGAGACAAGCTTTTCGACAGCAAAACATCTGTCGACCATAAAATCTTACATAGTGTAAACAAGAAAGGTGAATTTGTTCTAAAGTTCTGTTTCTGGGAATATGACAAGAACCATAAAACATTACAAAGAGCAGTCTTAAAATTTGTCAATGACAGACTTGTTGACAGAGATGACGCCGATTGGAAAGATGAAGTCCAACAAAAGTTCTTAGAATGCAAAGAAGACACATGCGCTGTTCTTGAAGATGAAATAGAAAACAGAATAGATGAGCTATTAAAGGACAAAGAACTTTTACATAGATATGGTTCTGAGAAATTTGACATATCTCCACCAGAGAAGAAGAAGAAAGAAAAGAAAGAGAAAAAAGTAGAAGAGAAGAAAGAACCTGAACCAGTTCCAGAGAAAAAGAAATTTGACATGTAAAAATAAAATTTTATTTTTAGAACATTTCTGGGTCAATGTCAATGTTCTCTTCCTCTTTAGGAGTAAACACTGGCTTAGACTCTAATAGCTATTTACCTTGAACTTCTACAACTTTAGACTCATAATATTCATAGTCGTCTGTCTTCTTTGGTTCATAAGGTATAACAAGTTTGTATGCTTTGCCTTCTTTAAGGTTTGAGAACCTTCTGTCAAAACTTTCTTTGACTGTTAACAAACCTTCTATGTCTAAGTCTTCAAATTTCGCACCATTTTTAGTCACAATAGCAAACTTAACTGGTTCGATGTTCCAAACTTTGCTGAATGAAGACTTTTCAAAATGGTAGAAGTAAACATTCAAATATGTGAATGGGTCTAGTTCTTCTTTAAGTCCTGACATGTACTTATTTACTGAGATGAATTTTGCCATCTTTTTCTATCGGATAAAAAATATTTTTTTAAAATTTACTCAGAAAAAATTTTCTTTGTATATACACCATTCTGAACATCTAAAAGACTTTTGACATTTGCCAAGAATGTACGTTTAGAAGCTGCCATATAACCATATTCTTGACAATATTGTTTATATTCATCATATAAAGACCTTTCATCTAATGACACAAAGTCAGTTTCATCTACGAACAGTTCATATACACTCTTGTTTGCTTCTAACAATGTTTGTCTCTCTTCGGTATGTGGAATTTGTCTTGGATTGAACTTAGAAATATCTAATGTCATGAAATATGAGAACAAGTGGTTGTAAAAGTCAGATGTCAAAGTTTCTGCTAAGTCGTCAAAATATTCTGTATCTTGCATATGAGAATCTGACGTTCTGACAACTACATATCTTCTGTCAGAACTTTCTAACTTCATCGGAACAGCATTGTTTGAAACCATAATGAAGTTTGCAACATTTTCACAAACTCTTTGGTCTTTATACTTTCTTTCAACAACTCCAACTTTGTCTGTTATAAGACTCTTCAAAGCATCTGAGTTCAAAACTTTTGTTGTATCTATACTTTGAAGTTCATTGCAAACTATAAGTTTCATATTCTCTATTGCGGAGTTAAACTTGCCACAGATGTTTTCTAAGTTTGTCATATTAGGGTTCGAATAACCTTCTAACAGTTTGCATAAGATATCTGTAAAGAATGTGTTCTTACCTGTTCCTTGTTTTCCAATTATAATGAGAGCAGTTTCATTTTTAGCACTTGGATGTTGTAAGATGTTTGCAAACCAACATAAGATATACTCATAAACCTTTTCGTTTCCATTGCATATAATTTCTTTGACATGGTCTAACCAAGCTTCTATAATACTGTGTTTCCATTCTACTTGTTCGTATTTATATCCAGTGAAGATAGAATAGAAGTTTGGAGAAGGTGTATAAAACTTTATACCACGAACTGAAAAATCTTCAAGTTTTGACAATAAGATATCCCAAGCATCTAACATCTTCATTCCAACTTGTACAACTTTTATTTTCTTAAGTTTCTGTCTACATTCTTGTTCAGACACTATTGTTGCTCTTGGTTTGTTAAAGACAACATCCATTCTTTCATGACATAACATTCTGGGGCAGAGTCAACATAAATGACTAAACGTTTCAAATTCTCGACTGCTTTGTTATAGTCTCTAATGGACACATATTTCTGAATGCTTGGAAGTCATAAAAATCTGAAACATCTATTCTGTACATTTTTATAAAAATAAAAAAAATATATTTTTTTATTCTTGACTTTGTTGTTCCATTTGTTGCATTTGTTGTCTTGAGCTATTTGTTGTTGAAGTTGTTCTTGTAATACAATACTTTCACCAGTTGCATCTTCCAATTCGAAACTGTCTGCCGTCATTGACAAATACATAGGACATAAAAGTTTTACAGGAACAAAGTTTGCGTCAACTAATGTCAACGTTATACTTGCCAAAGTGTTTGAGTTCACTAAGGTTGAAAATTCTGCATTCGAATGAACAATAGGCAAACCAGCAGAGAAAGTATTGTTTATACGCATAAGTATCTTTTGGTCATAATAGTTTCTGTCGACATTCGAATAACACTTTGAACCTAAGTTTGAAACAATATATAAGATGTGCTTAATGTCAATGGAATAGACATTCCTTGTATGACACCTTTTCCTGTTATAGGAAACTGTTGGTAGTAAAAACCAGAAATAAGTTTTGTATTATAGCTCATATCGTTTATAGTAAACTCAGTCGGACATCCAAACATAATGAAACCTGCTCTAGTTGCAGCACATTTCACCCGTACTTAAAGTATTAAATAAGTCAACAAAACCTGTTGGTGGTATATCTGAGTAAGTATCTTCAAAGGAGTATTTTTTACCATTCACACAACAATAAAGTGTCAAAAGAGCAAAACAGGCTTTAGTCGTCATTGTGTTTAAGGTTAGTTTACAATATCGTCCTTGAGGACTTTGTAAGTTTGTTGTTATAGAATTATATGACTCAGGGTTTTAGTCGTAATAGTATAAACCATTATGTCTTCTGCCATTTACTTAGCAAATAAATTTTAATGAAATGTTGTGGTCGTCAAATATTTTTATAACGTCTGGGAAACTATATTTTAAGTTCAACGTTTCACCTCCTTTCATAACGTATATCTTGTCAATGACATTATATGAAACACCACAGCAACCAATGTCGGGTTCTATTTCTTTGATGTTTATATCGTCTGCCTCTGTCAAAAGTTTCAATAGTTCTTTCAAAACTTCATGAGGTGCAATGACATATGAGTTCACTTTTTACAGGGTTGTGTTCGACCAAGTTTAACATTATACTTAAAGCTTGACAAATCTTCTCCTGAGTTTGAAGTTTGTCTTTCAGTTGTTGGTAGTCGTTTCGAATATCTGCAACAGAACTTAAGTCTCTGTTAACTTCAGGATATGTTGGTTCTTTTACAGGAACAATTGTTATACCATCTTCGTCTTCGTATGGTTTCCCCACTTCAACATCTCTGTCTTTGACATTGACAACAACACTTTGACTGTTTTGTTTGAGTTGGTGAATTTAACTTCACATCTGCCACCGCCATTAAACCTTTTGAAACACTTACGCTTCTATTTTTCGGAAATGACATTTTACTTAGAATAAAAAGATGGACGTATTCGGATATCTTATTGAATTGAAGCAGAACAAAGTTTATACTCACAAACAATACAAATACATTGACAGAATAGTTCTTTACACAAACAATGGAAAATGTTATAGAATAGCAGTCTTTGCTGAACCTAAATATTTCATAAAGCAAAGAAAGTTGGTATAACTGAAATGGTGAAAGTTCTTGAAGCAGACAAAAAATATAACTTCAAAACTTACAGATATTACTAAAGGAAAGTTTATAATACAATATTATGTCAAAACTGGCGTACTGTCAATATTTGACGGAGAGAAGTCAGTTCAAGAACAACTTACTGACCTGCTCTGCCAAAATCTGCTCGATGGAAGCTGTCGTTATGCCAATCTGAGGAGCCCCAGCAGGTTCATCGAACGAATCTTCAAAAGAGCATCTTCCGTGAAAAGTGCTATTGGTTTTGTAAACTTCTTTGCTCTCAATTCATCTGGACCGTCTCTGTCACCAGTATATTGTATTTGAACTGTACCAACAGTTGAAATACCACCCATAAAGTCTTCTGAGTCAGCAAATGGAATGCCAAGCCAAAAGTTTGAACGGTCTCCATTTGTATATTGAGTTTTTTGACCTCCTGTATGAGTCCATACTTTCACATATGGCATAATAGAACTTTGCATTTCAGGGTTAATGGTTGTTGTGAAGTTGTTGTTAAAGTTCATAGCATCTAATGTCAAGTTGTATGACCTCATATCCTCAACAGTAGAATATTCTTCTCTTGGGTAATATTTACCATCTATGTTTATATGATATTTAATACCAGGGTTGTAGAAACAAGAATAGTCATTTATAGTTCGTCTGAACAGTACAAACATAGTATCTGCATGTTTCATTGCAGTTGTTAAAGCAATATCTGTTCTTGCACCTGCGGCTCCTGGATTTTGGTTTCCAACTTCACCTGCAAAGTCTTTGACAGATATTTGGTGTATAGGGAGCATAAGTGGAACTGCAATATATTTGGCAGCTAAAGCATTTGAAATATCTGGGTCCAACATATAAACGGCAAGTCTGCTTTCTATTCTCTTGCATTCAAATTTTTCGCATGTGAACTTAACTGGGTCCCAAGCAGTTCCAGCAGCATTGAAATAATAGTTTACTTCATTGTTGAAGTTTGAGAAACCAAAGTCTAAGTCAACTTTGTCTTTGCAAAATTCGGCGAATGACGTTTGATTTGTTCCCTTTACGTCTGTAATAGTGAATGGGTCTTGTGTTGGTGCAATGACTAAGTTATTTTTGCTTGGAGTAAGTTCAATAGAAATTTTTCCTGCCCAGTTTGGTAAGTATCTTAAAAACCTGAAGATGAGGAAAGATGACAAAGGAACTCTAAGTTTCAGTTTTACTTTGGTTACTGCTGCTGCAGTTTGTCCAGAAAGGTTAACATAAACTCCTGGAACGTTAGGGTCAAGTCTTCTTATTTTCTCAATAGTTGCATACTGGTCTGTTTGTTCTCTAGCTTCTGGTTGTACTGAGTTTCTCAAAGCGAACCATTCATAGTTTGCCCATGTTACTGTTTGAACTAAGTCAGAGTTAGAATATATCTTATATCCCATGAAAACTTCTGGAGCATATTGGTATCCGACATAGAAAATTCCATTGCAACCTTTCTTGTCAGACAACTTGGCAGAAGGTTTTATTTCAATGTCTTGTTCCACGTATAAGAATGAGTTGTCAATAGAAATAATGTGAAACCTGTCGCAAGCAATATCTACTGTTGTTGAAGAACCTTCTCCAAACTCACCTACGTTTCCATAAGAAACAGCAGTTGTATATTCGTAAGTTCCAGGAACTATTTCTGACCTTCTAATGGCATTGTCGCATTCGTTATACCATTCGGAAACATTTCCGTTCATGGCATCCAAAACTGTTGGCGTTATATTCTGAGCGGCGTACATTTCATATGGGTAAAAATATAGAATAGTTGGATTTATATGTCATAATAGAACCCACTCGGACCAAGCTTTACTTTCTTCCTGACTGAGTTTTTAACTGAATCTTTAACTCTTCTTTTTCCTTCATTGCCACTACTTTCACTAGATGAAGTTACTTCTTCACTACTTTCACTTTGTTCTACTCTTCTCTTCTTCTTTGGTGTCGCTTTTGGTAACTTGCCCTCTGCTTCAAGTTGTAGCATCTTTGCCTCATGTTCACCTAGTATGTTGTAAATTTCCCATGTCCTTTTTGCCTTTGGGCTCTGGTCGCCCATCTCAGGTAACCTATATCCTAGAAAGATTTTGTCATAGTTTGTATTTGAGTCTTCGCTTATTGTTTGCATGACTCTTTCCTGAGTTTCCGGTTCAAGCTCTTCAAACAGAGCTTGTCCATATGGAATAAGCTCGTTTCCAAATATATGTTTTTGTAGCCATTCTGGTTTTCTTTCCATGTAACCAATAATATCTTTTGTGAATGGGAAAGCTTTTACCCAACGTTTCAGTCTTGCGTCATTTATTTCTGTAGTTGGTTTTATTTTGTCATGGAACATGTTTTTCAATACTAACATTTCATTTGGTACTGTCCATTTGAGTTTTCTTAAATATTCATCCCTTCTCATTTCATTGTCTGCAAAGTAAGTTTTTATGACATTTTGCAAACTTTCGTTTGCAAGGTCATGTACAATAGGTTCTCTTCCTTCTCTCTCCCTAACTTTCTTTCTAAACTCTTCACCAAATATACCATCTCTATGGTTCTGTGTAGTTCTTTGAGATAAATGTTCTAGAACGTCAGGTGTTATATTTCCCTCAGCCATGTTCATTTCATACTGGTCCAAAATATCTGCATGTTTCATATCTTTCAATGGCATTAAAGCCGCGCTGAAAATACCCGTTATATCTGGTTCACCATTCACTTCCATTGCGTCTACAACTTCTTGGAATTGAGGTTGTAAGTTTATGAACCACCTATCCGGATTAGCTTTATGACCCCATCTCATTGTAGTTCCATAGTCTGCAGAAACAAAAGTAGGTTTGTTTCCATATTGGTTAGGTTCTGAATGAACTTTAAACAATGTTTCATTTCTATATGTTTTGTTGAAATTTAACCTTTTATTTTCACCGAGTTCAGCCAAAGATTGAACGTTATCTGGTTGTAAGTAAAAAGGATTATTGTATTTGCGTACATTTTCTTTCAGTACTTCCATTCTATGCTGAATATTTTCATCTGATGTTGGAGTCTTTTGTATGTCGGTGAACATTTTTCGATATCCTTCTACTATGTCAGCCGAATTTTTCTTAGACTCTTGGAAAGATTCCATATTCTCCTCATACTTTTGTTGAGGGTCAAGATTTTTCGGCTGTTCCAAATCTTCATCTAGTTCTGTGAAGTTGGTTTCCAAAGGAGGGACTTGTTCGTTTCCTTCAGGCTCTTCTAGCTGTTGTTGCTGAACTATTTCTTCCATGTCTGGTTGTATCTGAACTTCTTCCTGTTGAGTTTCTTGTACTTCATCTGCTGGCATTTCATATATTCCGAGACCGTTTTTAACAAGTTCCCTATCTAAGTCATCCGGACTCATAAACCTTTCTTCTTTCGTTCCGTCTCTATTTTTTACGCGTTTCATGAAGAGAGTTGAATTATCATTTAGCTCTGACATCAAATATCTCGGAGTAAATTCATTCATGTCATTTGGATGATATGCTATTAAATCATATCCCTTTGCGAGCTTGTATTTTCCAGGTTTGAGATTATATCCGATTTGATGCTGAACCATAAAGCTAAATAGGTTCGGGTCAGTATTTCCTTCCTTGAACTTTCTAATAGCTTCTTTATATCTGTCACTAAAGTCAAGAGTATCTGGGTAACCATAATCTTCCTTAAGCATTTTTAAGAATTCTTGGTTTCCTTTTTCTCTACTTCTTTTATGTCCTTGCTCTGTTTGTGGTTGTTGTTGTGCAGGGTTTTGAACTGTTGGTTTTGGTTGTTGTTGTTGTGCTGGATTTTGAACTGTTGGTTGTTGTGTTGGTTGTTGTTGTGGTGCTGGATTTTGAACTGTTGGTTGTTGTGTTGGTTGTTGTGTTGGTTTTGGTGCATGCCTGTGTCTGTGTCCATGTGACGATGTAAATGTTTTAGGTAGTCCTGGTGCAGGTGCTTCTCTTGGAGGGTTTGGTGGTATATAAGTTCCACCAGCTGGCACATATGTTCCATCTGCAGCATAATGTCCTACCTGACTTTTCGTTTTTAAGAAAGCATTTACTAGGTCTGTTTTGGTCTGTTGTAACTCTTTTTCTTGACTTTCCACAACAGCTGCTCTAACGGCGTCATAGGCACTTTGAACTGCCTGTCTCGTTGCTGTATCTGTTATTTTCGTCATATTTTGTGCTACTTCTCTTAACTCTTTGTCGAAACCTTCAGACTTCAGTTTCTTTCCAGATGAGAAGTCGTTCACTAGTTTCACCTTACTATGAAGAGCTTCGAAGGCATTCTTAAAGTCAGCATTCATTAAAGCTTCATTTGAACTGTCTTCATCCGCTTGGATTTTTGTCCTTATTGACCCTATAAGTTGGGCTGCTTTAGCGTTGGCTTGGGCATCTAACCAGTCATTATTAGCTTTTATAATATCTGCGCTTTTCATTGCCTTTTGCATGGCTGCGTCGTTATTTTTACTTTCTTGTGCTAAGTTTTCATACTGTACGGTTTGGTTTTGCAACTGTAAAAGTTTTTCTGCCTTTACATTTGCTTCAACTTCTTTTTTATACTCATCGCTATCCATATATGTCTTCATGGCTTTTTGTTTTATCTCTTCATCTTTCAGTACTTTATATTGAGTAGTATGGTTTTTCAAATTTATAACATCTTGTTCCATTTTTGCTACTTCTGCTGCTTTTTCTGACACTTTTTTCGCATATTCCTCTGTACTTAGTTCTTTCAGTTGTTCTTCTTTCTTATTTTTCTCTACGTTTAACTCATTTAGTTTCTTTGTCTGTCTGTCATATTCTAGTTTCTTTTCGTTTTCACTTATTTGTTTCTGTATGTCTATGTTTGACTTTTTGACATCTGTTATTTGATTTTTGAGTGAACTCAAATTCATTTGACTTTGAGGGTTATAAGCTGTTCCGTCTGCAGCTTCACCATAGCCTGCCATTTTCGCTAAAAGTGCCGCTCTTAAACCTCCACTCTGTGCCCCAATAACTCGGTTTAAAAGCATAGGGTTGCTTGACATTTGTTGCAACATAGTGGGGTCATTCATCATTTGTTGTTGCAACTGTTGTTGTGGTGTCAGTTTTACTATTGGATGTTTCAATGCTCCCTTCCTCTTACGTATATTCTTACGTAGCTTACGTGGCATTTTAAGTGAAGTTAAAAAGCGGTTTTTGACAGATGTTTATATGACACTTTTTGTTCAGCACAAAAAACTACTCGGTCAAAGTGTTGTCAGTTTTGTAAAATAACCGTCCTATCTTGTTTTAAAAGGGAGAAAAGGCTTCTCAAAGTATACTTCCTTGGAACGCCTGTAACTTTTCCTGTAGCGACGATAGACTCTTACTTGTCCGGACAAAGTTATACTATTTTGAGTGCTCTACAAAAAAGTCAACGGCGACGACTCTCAAAAACCGTTGTGTAAAAAGTTTTACCGTTGGACAAAAAAGTATATATAGAAAACAAAAAACGTTTATAGTTCATTCAATATTTGAGATAAACCGTTTTTCCAACAGTAACTATTAAATAAAATAAAAAAATAGAGGGGGTCTCCGTTGACAAAAACGGTTTATCTCAAATATTTAAATATCTGTCTTTTTTGGTCAGTTCATTTTTATCTAATGGAAGCCAACGCTGTTAACCACAATTCAAACATTAACAATTCTCAACCGCTAACCAAAGCCAAAGCCCCACAACCTCCAAGAACCGGCACAGCGGTTAGAATAACCACCAAAAAGTCTAACAGCGAATTAAGAGAAATTCTTCAACAAATTTGCTCTAAATATCTCAAAGACGCCGAAGAAAACACACAACCAGACGCTACATACAATACTCAGTTCTGTGAAGTTCTGAACAAAGCAATTACTAGTTCAATTGAACTTACTAAGACAATTCCAAGTCCAATTGAGCTTAGCGATGTCTTAGTTCAGTATTTTCCAACATTTACTAAGCTTATAATGTTGAGAACTTTATACCAAGTTCGTCAAAATCTTCCTCGTTACATCCAATGGTCATTCGACACGAGAATTGCCGAATTCCAAGTCTTTAGTTACGGATATGACGAAGATGAATATGTTGACGAGTTCGGAGACAACCGTACAAAATGGTTTGAATGTTATACGACAACACAATTTGAATTCGACTTTCTCGAATTCAACGCAGCAACCATTCATATCATTGCTCTTTACCTTTCCGAACAACAACAAGACCTCGCAGATGGAGATGTTGTTACTGTCGTCATGAAAACTCCTGAACAATTCGGAAAAAAGAAGTCTCTAATTGCCAAATTCGTTCCAGGACATCAGCTTTTCCAACGCACAGAAGTCTTCTGTATTCCTGGAACTAAGTTCTTTGTCAGGAGCGAACTCAAAGAAAGATATAATGTGTCATTCAATTACACATTATATAATGTTTTCGACCCAGAAGAAGGCTTCTTCCCAGAAGCAATGGAGGAGGAAGAAGAGGAGGAGGAAATACAAGACTCTATCCAAGAAGAGTCCTCCGAATTCACACCAGAAGACTAACAATTTTCCGAATAAAAACTTCATTTATACTAAACATCTTCGGGGCTAGAGGGCGCAACGCGCCTGGAAGCCCCACTATTTTTTTTATATTCATAAAGATTTTCCAAAAATATCACATCGCAATATCAAAAAAGTGACGTCCTCTGTGGAGTCAAGGGTCGAAATTGCTAGCTAAATGTTTTTTGGCGAAATTGCGTATTGTACGTTTTTTTCGCAAAACGAATCCCTTATATCAAATATTTGATGACTAAATTCAAGAATTATCTCCGAAACAAAAGTCAGAATTGAAATGGAAATTTTCTCAGATAGCTGAAATTCTTCAGTTAAAAGCCTTAAATAATTGAAACAGATCTGTTTTTCTGACGAAAAATTGAGTTTTATATATAATTGAATCAGCCTATGAAGATATTTTTTATCTTGTGTTTTTATCAATTCAAATAGTAAAGTTATATGTAAATTCTTGATTAATGTGTCATCTTTTGTTTCATTATATGTTATAAGTGTTAATTTTAATATAAATAAACTGTGTTCACTAAAAATGAATTTTAAATTTAAATCCTTACATACTTCTAAATCCTTTAATACCATTAGGAGTTGTTTAAATTGTTGAAAATTTAATAAAATTTCAAATGGAAAGTTAGTTGTTAACCTGTAAAATAAATCATATGCAACTTCTTTTTGTAGCACTAAATCAATGTCCGAAAATTTTGAAATAAGAAATTCAAAATCCGCATTAACTGAATTTTGCCCTCCAAAATCGTGTTCAATTGAGCAGCAATTAAAATTTTGATCCTGGTAATTGTTTTCAGCCTGACTATAGTTTTTTATCTCTTTGTAATTGGTAAACATTAAAAAAAAAAGTAAAATTATATAAAAAGTAATTGTTTATTTAGTTAGTTTTTCCTTCTTATTCTTTTGGTTCTTTAATTTCTATATGAGATTCATAAAAATCCAATAGGCTTTTGATATTATATTTTTTGACATCGTCCCTTGAACACTTATAAAAGTGTCCATTGATTTCACCTCCACACATGTATTTCCCATTTTCAATCCACATATGGGTAATTTTAAATTTTTTAACTTTATTTTCTTCAGGAGGGGCCTGAGTTTGGTTCCGTTTCTCAAAATCGTCAATCAATTTAAAAAAAAAAAATAATTTCGTGGAATCAACCCAATTACATTCTTCTTTATTGTTTTCAATCCATTTTATTAAATATTGAGTTGAATCACCATTATTTTTTTCATTATAATTTGAGTGGGTTTGCAAGTTTTATCATTGAACATTTGCAAATAAATTGAGACATGATCGGTAATTTTGAAAGGATAATAAAAAATTGAGAGAAGGTGTAATTTTTTAAAAAAGAGGATAAATCAAATATATTTTAATATACAAATCAAATTTTTAATTCATCTAAAATTTTTTTAAGAAATGATCGGCAATTTTGAAAGGAGAATAAAAAATTGAGAGTAGGTGTAATTTTTTTAAAAAAAAAAGAAGATAAATCAAATATATTTTAATAAACAAATCAAATTATTAATTCATCCAAAAATTTTTTAAGAAATGATCGGCAATTTTGAAAGGATAATAAAAAAATTGAGAGAAGGTGTATTTTTTAAAAAAAGAAGATAAATCAAATACATTTTAATAAACAAATCAAATTATTAATTCATCCAAAAATTTTTTAAGAAATGATCGGCAATTTTGAAAGGATAATAAAAAATTGAGAGAAGGTGTAATTTTTTAAAAAACAAGATAAATCAAATATATTTTAATAAATAAATCAAATTATTCAATTTTGATTTTAAAAACAATACTTTTATTGTAAATTTGAATTCAAATTATTGTTTTATATTCAGCCTTATATATTATTTTTCTTTAAACATTATTTTTCTTTCTTCTATTCAAATGCATTTTCAAAGCAAATTTTGAATTATCCTATATTATCTCAATTACAAATATATTTTTATTTAACTTAAATGCACAATTAATCTTTTCATAATTTATTCATTTTGATAATTTCGATTTTTTCCAAAACGCTCTCAAATCTTTACAATTTGTGAGAATAATTTTATTCCCATATCAAAATTCAAATTTTTTTTAATAATTGCATTTATCTATTAATATACTATCTATTTTTTCAATTTTTTATTTTCTATTTTTTCTCAATTTTTTTCAAAATCAAATATATATGTTTTTTCTTCAATTATTTATAATTGTATTAAAACATTTTACCCTTATATCAACCAAATGATTTAACACGTTAGCCCTTTTTTTCAGCTTGAATTCTTCAATTTTTCTAAATATCAATTTTGATTCTCTACGATAGATTTGTAATAATTCAAAACAATATCTCTCCTATCAAAAGCACCTCAATGTGCATTGATATATCAAAGTATATTAATTTTTATTTACAATTTGATATTCCATAATATAATATCAAATTATTTTTCTTTGAGAATTATATGACTCTATTCATTGGATTTTGCAGTATAATTCCACATGAAGACAAGTCTTGAAAACTTATTTGAATGCTACTTTTTAAGCAAACAGAAAGTGTTCCTCTCAAAAAGTGGAAACACTTTCCGGTCCCTCGCATACATCTGGTATTTACTGTTTATTGCAATGAAAGTAATTCGGCAGATTTTAAAAAAAAAATTATTAAATCTATAAATCTATTTACTTTTAGTATTATAACAAACATACATATCATTATTGATGATATTATAAATGAATTACTTTGAATTAAAAAAATTATAATCGAGGGGTAATTGGCTCTTCATCAGATATTGATGGAGTGTCATCTAATCCATGAGCCTTTCTAATTAGTATATTAGTTTCTGTAGTACTAACTTGCGGATTTAATAAAAAACTTATTTGACTACTACTTCGAGCATCAGTGATTCTAGCATTTGCTGGTGTGGACACTTCTATTTGGTGTCTATTTCTAAGCTTGTAGATTTGCGTTTTGACTTCAAAAATTCTTGTTTCAAGTTGAGTTAACAAATAATCAATATTAACTTGAAAATTGTTAAATTTCTTTTCTAGGGCATTCATGCGAGTATTAATTTGACTGAAATACATTTCTGTATTAGCAGTAATTTGAGTTGAAAAATTATTGCTTGCTCTTGAAAAAAGAATGTCAACATATTCATGGCTTGCGAACTCACTCAATACCATGTTATCTAATTTTGCTTTTGCTACACGGCTAAAGATAGAAAATAAATTGGTAAAATCTTCTTTGATATCAATGCCGAATGTATAATTTAAGAACTGATTTGTAACATTTTGACTGCATTTTTGTGCAATCTGAGCTTTATCCATTACAAAATTGACTCTTCGTTTATTTCGCTTTTTTGGAAATGCTTGATATGGTTTAATGGATTCTTTGGTTGCTTTTCTATCAGAAATCCTTTTCAAATCATCAAGTTCTTGATTAATCATGTCAAACCAGTCTTTCCTATTCATTCATTTTTATAAAAAGTGACGAAATTTTCATCAAAATCATTTTATTTCCACGCAATAACGTATTTTTTCAATCGAATATTAGAAAATCTCAACTCAACAATTGTATGCCATCGTTCGTATATAATTCACTTAATTTTTGTTTTGTTAGTACATTTTTACATCCAAATTCAATAATTACAGCATATATCTCATAATGAATCTACAGGATATGAGTCTATCATGATGCAAACTTCATCTTCATTGACTTTTCTATGCATTTGCTGTTTTTGATACTATTTTATTTGATTTTTTGTTCTTCCTGGATTTATAATATAAGTATTTCATCCCATTGCTTTTACATAGTTTGTATGATCGAGTAAGCGACCATTAAATACAATGATGGTCAATCATAATATAGTTTGTAAAATAATTTTGAGGAGGAGACTTCATTTACCGGAAATTGCTTGGATGTTATGAAATCACTGAGTTTCTTAATCTAAAAAGTACTTAAGGAAAAACGAGAAAAAGATTTGAATTAAAAAAAATCAGATATTACTATGTAAATTTTATAAATAGAATTACCTGGTATTGATCTATATTCAAGAATACAAACAATAAATATGAATATTCTATATAAAAAAAATTAGCAGCAAGCTGAATCTTTCTTTTCATCATTTAACTTTTTTGAGACTGTAGTTGTTGTCGTAAGTCCCTGATTGCCAAGTTTGATGACTTGCTCAGAGACAGATTGGAAAAGGAAGTCCACATTCAATCCTGTAAGTGCGGATGTAATGAAATACTGATATCCATTCTTTTCTGCATATTGCTGTATTTCTACTTCATCAATTCTATGAGTAGATTCAAGGTCTGCTTTGTTTGCAACAATAAATATCAATGGCTTTGGACCTGTTGAACTTCTAAAGTTTTCAATCCATGAATCAACATCAAGAAAAGACTGTCTTTCTGTAATATCAAAAACAACAATGGCTGCAGAAGAATTTCTATAGTAAACCGGGCCAAGGGAACGATATTTTTCTTGTCCTGCAGTGTCCCATACTTGAACTGTATACTGCTTATCTTCATATTTAGTTTGGAATGTATGAAATGCAGCGCCAACTGTTTCTTCATACTGTTGTTGTATTGTTTTATTAACAAATTTCATAATTAATGCAGTTTTGCCAACATATGCATTACCAATCATAACAATGCGGTAGTTATTCATTTAGACCAGAATCAAAAATGGTTTGTTGGATTTAAGAATTCACATCTATTAGTTATAACAAGAAATATAAAATCCTATTCTCTGCTAAAATCTTCAAAAAAAAAAGTTGAAGAAAATGAGATTACCATTCTAGAACAGATTTATGCATGAATTTCTTAGAAAGTCAAAATACCGTGCACATTGGTTACACTCTAAACTCTGTATATGAGAAATATCATTTGGAGAAATTAAAATAAACTAATTAGAAAACTATTTTTTTTATAAACGATATTTAACAATGGAAAAGAATAAATTAGCATAGCATAAAAGTCATGGAATAGCTTTGATCATCTTCATTCATAAATTGATTTGGTGTTCGTAGGATATGAAGTTGAAGTATGTCAAGATCAACAAAAAGGTTATCTGTAGATACAGAAGGTGAGCTTAGTTGATCGTCTTCATTTTGATTTCCTATATTTACATTAAGATCTTTACGAGATGTGCTCTGCTCAAGTCCCTCGTAAACATGTTTGCATTCTATTGATCTCCTATTTGAAAGAATTTTGGAAATTAATTTCCAATTTTTACCATATTGGGCAACAGCTTGACGTAAAGAGTCTATTTCTGCTTCTGTCCAATTTCCATTTTTGCGCTTTACCAAAGCTCTGTAATGATTAGAGCATTGTGTTGCCTTTTTGTTATTTAATTTTTTAGCAATTTCGCGCCAAGAAACTTCTGGATGGTTTTCGTGTATATCAATAAGAATTTTTTCTTCTTCAGGAGTAAATATGCACATTTGATGCTTTTTATGGGCTGGTTCTTCGGTAAAATCGGAAGAATCCTCCTCTGTCATTAAAAAATATTTTGAATAGAAAGGAAATTTAAATGAAATTGGATTTGTTATGAATGTATTTGAAGATTTGAAGAGCAGATCACTTAAAAATAGATTTCCATTCAATTTTTGAATTATAATTCAATTCCATCAATTGGTATTGAATTTCATCATCTCACTTTCTTTCAGATTATTAATCTATAATTCATTGATAGTAAATTTGAATAATTGATTTTACAATTTTACAATTCATAAAAAACTCAAATTTAATTTTGCTTAACATTGATACTATTTTCAAATTAATGTATTTGATTAGAATATTCTAACGTTCATCTTCTCAAATTATTGATATGAAAAATTATTGCTATGTAAGAATTTGCAGCTTGCATATGCATGATAATCGAGTTTTCTTATCAAGACGATTAAAATATTCTGACAATTACTGTCAATTTACAATTGCATTTATAATTGTTATAATATGAAAACACACTTTTTTTGTATTTTGAATTCAAAAATTAGATAGATTATTAATTTATTAATTTACTTTTTGGAAATGGATAGTGCATAAATATTTATTATTATTTTTTATGAATAAAGTTCAAACATTTAAGTTTTCTTGATGATATCTCGCCAAAAGGAACCATCGACTCATTAAGTGATATGCGTCTTATTTTTTAAAATGTATATATTTTCAAGCAGTTCTCTTATTAAATATGACGCAGCTTCCATAATTTTAAGAATTTAATCTATCTTATGCATAGAGCAGATCTAAAGGCAATCCATAGATATTCTTATTTCACATGACACACTTATCATTTAAAACGAGCAGATGGGAAAAACTGTTCTTCATTGTGCAGCATTGTTTAATAACAAAGAATTATCTGAACTTATTATTACACATTGTTCAACCTACTTGCAAGCTTGTCTATCTGGAGTAAGCTTTCAATGTTATCATTAAGTCATAAAGCATATACCACTGATGTGTAAGAAACTCAGAAGGAAACATTTATCCTTAAAAATATTTGTTTATACCATAAAGTATGTCTAAATTAAATTATTAATTCAATATGAGAATCAAAGGAATTGAATGAAAGCTGTTTTTGGAGCATTCATTTTTAGTACTAAACAAAATAATATTTCAAAATTTACAAAAAATGAAATAAATATTAACGAAACATATTTATTTGTAATGACATGAATAATATAATTAGATACAATTCTATTAAAGGGAGTGAATAAACCAAATGATATCGAATGTGAGTTCGTAATCTAATTGAATAGTAAAATTCTATATTGCATATAATTTTGCATTAATTTGGTTAATTGAAATTAGTAATCAAGCTTAATGATCCCTTTTTCATTTGTATTGTTTGTAATAAGCTCTTGGAGTTTTTCGACTGCTTGATTACATGTTTTCATTGTCGATAAATCGTCATAATATCCGATGATTAAGCACGTTGGACATTTTGCTATAATTAATCCGGATTGATTAGATTTTGCTTTTGCAATTCCGTCAAAAACGGATGAAACGGAATATACTTCGCCATGAAAACTAATACCTTTATAAATGTATTCTGAATTCGGTTTGAAAATGTCCACAAATGATTGTAATTCACTAGAAGAAACTGCAAAGCCAGGCGTTGCATTCCATATATTTGCATCGTCGCCAATTATAGCTCCTCCAGCCATATATCCAATCATTTTATCTGTGAAAACTTCCATAAGAAATCAATGTTTTTTTTTTATTCTCCCAAAACGTTTTTTTCACATGAGGAATCTGAATCTGAGAATTAAACTATTTTATAAGTAAAAAAAGAATATGCTGATCCAAGGATTTCATTGTAATGTAAAATGATTCATTCTATTTTTATTGATTTACTTTCCAAACTGCTAACAAATTCCTTGAAGAACTTTCTACTGAAGGAGATCATGAAAATAAGAAATAGGCATTTGAAGAAGGAGATCATGTCAAATCCCTCATCCAAAGTGATTGTAATAAAGAATCTACTCCCCTCATCAGTGGCTCAAAAAGCAGTTTGCATGAAGTTGTTCAATATCTTATCTCATCTATTAAAAAGAAGCCAAGGATATTTCTGGATTTACTCCACTCAGCATTGCAATAGTAAGTGATCAATTTAATGACATCAAATATCTTTATATATCACATATGGGAAATGATTTTTTCAATGAGATAAGAGACAGGAGACGGCAAATTGAAAAAATGCAAAAGATAATCGATGTTTCATCAAAAGAGATAAACAACGAATTATTAAATCAACTACATATAAGGAAGTCAATTTGGAAAATTGTTTTCACTTTAGGAGAATATAATTTTCCATTTGGAAAATTTAAAAAGTGAGACGCGCAGGATTCGAACTTTTTTAAAAGTTGATTTAAATGAATTTTAGTGTGGAATATAAGGATAATATCATATTTAAAATAAGAATATACTAGTTTAGGTGGTATTAATTTTTTCGATAAATTTGAGAGTATGTACGTTTAGGGTATGAAAAGTGTCAATTCGCTCAGCGAAAGCTGAGCTAGCTTCGTTCTCGAAAGAATAAGGAAGGAGTGAAGGAGAATGATACAGATGTTGACACATTCATATCATTTCAACAAATTTTGATCAAATTGAAATTCAATAAAATTCAATTCAATTCATATCCTTCAGTCAGTACATTGATATCCTTCTGCATCACAATGATAACTCGGGCATCAATAGTTCTACAACTAACTCAGAAAAAACAAGATTATTACTTCCTGCTTACAGCTTTTAAAAAGTTTCGATGATAAAAATCACTCTACTCTCGTTTATCGACATATGGTGATAGTAGGTAAACGTATTCTTATCGATATTAATAAAAATATTTGTACGAAAATCTTATCCAATTAGAGAGTTATTCATAAAGTATATGATAATTATAATTACTTTATCTTTGTTTTATCTTTGAATAAACAATTTAATTTAAATTGCATAATATTTTTTGGTTGAAAGACAGGAAACTTAGTTGAGTTTGTATTATTTTTATCGTTTAATTCATCGTATCAGTGAGTGATCCAGATATTTAAGATATTTAGAAAAAAAATTATTAATTTGATTAACAAATTTTAATCAAAATAGCAAAAATCTATTTGATAGCTGTAAACAAACAATAATTTTTATTTCAAGCAAAATCACTTATTTTCATCTAAACGTATAAAATTGTCAATTTTATGAAAATAAATTGAAAATCTCATGAAATGTAAAGGAGAGTAATATTTTTCAATTTTCTTTTTTTCTTTGTCTCAAATATTTTCTGTTGGGAATTTTCTTGTTATCAAAAAATAATTTTAATATTTGTTTATTTCATTACATACAATAAAATTTTAAAAACTCTATTTCTTCTCAAGAAAATTTTTTCCTTCATATGAAGAAACATTTTGTTCTCCATTTGATACTGAGTCTAAATCTCGATTTTTGAATTTTCTTCTTTCCAAATTTCTTTTTTCCAAATTAGAAGTTTAATTCAAATTTTCAATAGTTTATATATTTTCTCAAACCGTCTCGGATTTTCTCACTTTTTAGGGATTTTCTCTCAAAATATACAAAAATAGTAATATCAATACATGTGTCTAATATACTTTAAAACCATCGTGACAAAATTCAAAAACGAAGAGTTCTTCTCTCCAATTTTTTTTCAAAATCAAAAAAATGAGATAAAAAAGTACGTTTGGAAAATTCATTTTTAGCATTTTAGGAATTTTCTCACTTTTCTTCCAAATTGACATCCTTACTACATATCATTTTATAAGCATGTAATCCTATAATAAATAGTCTAATTCCATCGAGTTGCGATCAATCTATGAATCTGTCATGTGAATTTTGAATACTATGCCAAAGTTTAATGGTTGAGGAAATATCTCTCATGGCAATATAAAAGCGAATCATAAAAAAAATTCTGATGTAAGGATAAAAAAAAATTAAATTTTTGTTCTGAAACAATTGCGTTTATAATAGGTCATATGCAAAAAGTTTCAGACAAAAAATCAGCTATACGTAAAGGAAGACTCTCTTGTCCGGGTCTTTCTCCACGTAAACCTGTTAGAAACCAAGCTCCGCCAATTATAATTCCTATTTCAAGAACTACTCAAGGAATATCAACGCCATATCATAAAGTATCTCGAATTGGTCTTTCTGAAGTTCCCGACTTCATTGTTCCTCCTCAATTTCATCCATTAACACCTCATGCTCAAATTGTCTATGATTTGCCACCACTAATTCAGCGCGCCTTTCATTTTATGGATTACAGTATGTGTTTTCACCGAGATCCATTCGAAGCAGATGAGCCAAGTGAATATTCCTACGAAGATTTTCAAAAAAAGACAGACACTCTAAATTCCATACTTAAAATAGTCACTGACCCGGTTTCTCGCCATGGGCTATCTCCTGATGTTTTTAGGATGCTTTTTGAGATGGTTTTAAAACATATTATTCATCCGCTTCCAAAAGTCTCCAAAGAAGCCGAATTTTCAGAATACACGATAACATATTATATCAAGCACTGGGAACACATTGTTATCGTTCATCAAATCCTCAGAGCGATGATGTTTGATCATAGTCATTTTTCTCCACTTCTTTCGAAGCAATTCTCGAAGAAACTTGTTGACTGCCTTGAAACACCCCTCCGTTCAGAGCAGCAACAGTTCGAAGAAACGATTAAAATCATCATCGAAAATTACGTTGGACAAAGGCAGCATCTACTTAAGCACATGATTTCCAAGCTTATCAACTACATAGAGAACATCATTGACTACACAAGTATCGGTTCTATCCTTAGATTACTCGTATCTTACTTTTTGTCACTCGAAACTCCATTTAGTACGAACAACCATAAGATTTTCCGAAATTTACTCTTCCCTCTCATATCAACTTACGATTCTTCAAATTTTGAGAAGCCAATTCAGGATTTGGAGCTGATTTTCGCATCACAGGACCCTGAAAACGCATTCTGGTGCCTCCAGTACCTATTTAATCACCGGCCAAAGACATCTGTCAAAAAAGAAATTTTATTTTATAATTTATTGACGAGTTTACTTCCATTTTTACCTGATACTCTGTTCCTTAATACAGCTCCTATAGTTGTTAAGCTACTCAGTCGATGTATTTCATCGTCAAACGTTTCTGTTTGTTTATTTGCGATTATGTTCTGCGACAATCAGGATTTGATCAATACTTTTAAGCCTGTTCCCGAACTTGTTGTTAAATACTTGCTGCCGGCTACAAAAGAGACTCTGACAAGTCGTGATGACGATATCAAAGATTATGGAACGAGTTTATTGAATAAACTCACTCCCTTTGATCACCAGAAAACTAAGAATACTGAAAATAATGAATATTTGATGAAAAAATGGATGCAAATTGCAAATCTTGCTCAATTAGTTGAAACTGAAGAAAAACTCTTCATATCTTCAATGCGTTCGATTTATGATAACTAACTAATTATATTATGTCTATATTTTGTTTGTTTTTTCCTAAAATATTGTTTGTAAATAATTTTTAAAAAATCTTAAGGATATACTTACCACTTTCTGACATTCTCTCAATTTTTTTGACATACAAGCTTTCTATCTCAATATTCTAAAGTCAAAAGTTAATATTTTTGATGAGGAGAAAGTAAATATAAATCACTACGTAGTACCTAATATGGCTGCTATATTTTTCTGCCATTAAAATAAAGATATATTGAGTTTTTTTCAATGCATGTCATAAAGTGGTAAGTGCACCCTTAAGGATATACTTGCCACTATTGACATCCAAGTATTTTACCCAGATTTTCCTTACTTTTACCACCTCTCTAAAGCTGGGGACACCGCCTATCGTTGGGAGTAGCTATTAAATAGAACCACCAAGGGTATTTTTCGAACTGCCGGTGTAGTTGAAACATCCGACATAATGATTCATTATGCCAAGGTTTGATTCCCATTTAGCCAATTTTGTTCTTTTTTGGATCATGAATTTTTTTTGGGTCACTATAAGATTTGTTTCATGTTCTAAATCTGCTGCATATGTAATCTATTTTTATTTACCTATTTTTAAAAATCTATTGGATTGCCAAATTTGAATATATTTAAAATCATAAAAATCAAAAAAAAATAAATATATATGTTTTATGCATAGTGCCGATACTCAAATATCAGATTACTTAGATCCATGAATAATATCCGAATTTTTTTTCTTAAAATTAAACTTCAAAACTTCTTGCAATCTTATTCTTCATCTATTATAAATTTTTAAAACCATTTTTTAAAATAATTTTGCGTAAATTTTATTCTCATGTTGTTTTAATCGAAAATTGATACATTTTCAAAAAAATAATATTGACTTATGAAATTCATTTTTAAGGTGAAATAGTATTGTTTTTATTAAAGTATATGAATAATATATAAAAATTAATGAATAATATAAGCAGATTTTAGTTTACAAAACAAATATGAGCAATGCAATTTCAAACTTTTGCTGGCAATTTCGATATTGCTCAAGTTTGTAGTATTTGTGATACCTATAACATCGGCTTAATCAAAATTTGATTTTTCTTATGAGTTATTGAGAAAATTTGATTGCAATGAGAAGGATTTCGACGTTTTTGATAAACTAAGAGCTGAGCTTTAGGGGTTCAGTTCATTTATGGCTGTAGTTTGATGCGTAGATCTCTTTTTTATTGTAAATTCTTTCAGCATGGAGATCGAGAATGAATCTTTTGAGAACTTTATGAGTTTTTACACCCGTAAAGAGGTCCTTCGAGGAAAGATAGTCCAGACTACATGAAGATGTGGGTTAACCAAAAAAATCCGATGGTTTCCCCATATTCATGTAGATCTTCGAAAAAATGAGCACCAAAAAAGCCAAAAAAATAGGCTTTTTATTGGATTTGTACACTAGATCAATAATCTATTTAGGATCTGACACTCTTTTTAGCCAGAGATATGAGGTCCTTTCTAGGAAAACGATCTATTCATCCATAAAAAAAAGAATTATCATTTTCCCCAGAAATTACATGGGGAGTGGTAAAAGTAAGGAAAATCTGGGTATATCAATTTTCTATAATAAAAAGCTAATATTTTTTATGCAGTACCTTTGTAAAAAGCTATTATAAAAATGTGTCTATTATAACAATTTACTAGAAAAACATTTATCTTTTGTAAAATAATCGTACTTATAAATAAAAAGTGACAGTGCCAATATTTTTTTTCATATTATGACAAGTTCAGAGGCACTAACAAAGGAAATTGAATGTGATTTTAGCGATCTTAAGCCAATTGAAATATTCGAATATCCGAGCCAAGCTTCAAAACTTATTTGGGACGTCAATTCCAATAATATTTTACAAACAACATCACAAATTATAGACTTTATTAAAAATAACAGAATCTCTATCCAAATGGCACTTTACTTAATTAATATTTTTTGCAAATTCGTGTTAAAAAAATCGAATTATTTGTGGAACTTTATATAAAGCTATCAAACGAATTTTCATGCATCATCAAACCAGAAGATAAGGTATTAGCATCACTATTGCATTATAAGGGTTTCAAATTTCAAAATTTCGAACCTGAAATGAAAGAGGAAGAAATTCTCAATATATATCCAACAGATTCACCATTATTCTACATTGCGTGGGACAAGATTGATGAACTTAAGCGTAAATTCCCAAATCTTGATGTTAATAAATATATTCAGCCAGAATACCCACTTAATTGTGCTATTCAATACGGATCAGAATTGTGCTTCAATTACTTGAAAAATTTAGGAGCTGAATATAATAAAACCTCAGAGAAATATGCTGTTCAAGGTGGAAACATAAACATTTTTATGCAAATGATCGAAGATGGTAAATTATTTGCTAACATGATTAATACAGCATTGGATTATCATAATTTTGAAATTGCTGACTACCTCAAATCAAATTTCGGACAAACTCCTAATTCAATAGCAGAATGTATGTATTTTGGAAATTATAACGTTGCTTCGTTTTTACTTTCTAATGGAGCAGATATCAACGAAGTTTACATTATTTTTCTTTTTATACTTTGCATCGTTTTGTGGAATTCACTTTCTTCCTATAATATTTTTTGTTGTTTCATGAAATTTTTTATTTATTAATGAATCCCCGCTTGATATTGCCATCAAAATTAATTCAATGGAAATGGTCAAATTCTTAGTTGATTATGGTGCAGATGTTAACAAGATACTTATTCTCTTTCTCTTCATTTTTATCAATGTTTTATGTGACTTTTTTTCTTTTCTGATTTATCATTTATTAATACGATTCTTTTTATTTTTAGATTTATCATTTATTTATATTATTTTCTTTCTTTTCATATTTGTCAATATTTTATACAATTATTTCTCTTTTGATATTTATCATTGTTTTATACAGTTCTCTTTCTTTTCATATTTATCATTGCTTAATACTATTACCTTTCTTTTGATATTAATCATTTCTTTATAAAATTATCTTTCCTTTTATATTTATCATCGATTCATCTAATTATGTATCTTTTCATATTAATCATTGTTTTGTGGCATTTTCTTTCTTTTAATATTAATCATTATTTTGTTCTATTTTCTTTCTTTTAATATTAATCATTGTTTTGTTGTGTTTTCTTTCTTTTAATATTAATCATTGTTTTATATAATTTTCTTTCTTTTAATATTAATCATTGTTTTGTAGCATTTTCTTCCTTTTAATATAGGGTGTCCAAAGGTGTGTTTAGCACAAACCTGAATACTGCGAATAGAAATAAACAAGTTACATATATATAAAGTTTATTTAAATGTAATCACCATTGGATTCAATCACGCGTTCGCAGCGATCGATCCAGGCTTGAAAGACACGCTTTAAATCATCATGAGAAAATTGCTCAAATTGCTCTCTTACAAAATTTTCAAGATCATCTGGACTCGCGAATTCGCGTCCTTCAGCTCTCTTTTTTAGCGTGCCGAATAAATAAAAGTCAGAGGGTGCAATATCAGGTGAATAAATTGGGTTTGGAACAACTTTGACATTGTTTTCCACCAAGTAATTCATTACCTTATGACTTTTGTGAACTCTTGAATTATCAAAATGAATTGCAAACTTTTGTTTTTGTTGTTTGGATTTCTCAAACTCATCAGAATTGATAATTTGAGTAAGAACATTGTCAATTAGATACTGAGCATTCATCGTATTAGGTTTCTGAAGAATATCAATTGCGATGATGTCATTCACGCCCCAAAAAACCGACAACATCATCATTGGTGTGTCAATTTTTTTCTTTGGGAATGTTTGCGGATTTTCATCCTTCGGGATCCACATGATTTTGGCTTCTGTTGCATATTGAAACCAAGACTCGTCCCCTGTTACTAAAAAGCGAAACTTCTTGGATTGATACGCACCCAATATAGAGAGGAGCTCTTTCGAAGATTGGACTCTAGATTTTTTTTGAACTGAATTAAGGTTGTGCGGAACCCAACGTGTATACGCTAGTTTGTAGTTCAAATAATTGTGCAGATAATAACTGACTGTTGTACGTGGTATCTTTGTCATCTCCTCTATCCTTCTGAGTGATGCTCTTGGGTCTTCATCTAGCGCTTGAAGAATTGCTTTGATTTTTCTTTGATCCGGCGATTTTTTGTCAATTTTTATGATGGGCGCCTTTTTGTTCATGAAGTGATACATCCTAACATGATACGTTACAGTGGAATAGCTAGGAGCATCCATACCGAAGCATTTTACCAATGTCTCGTAGATTTTTTTACAGTCTTTGCATTTTTTTGCAAGAGCGAGGATGTTTTCTTTATGATTCATTAAAAAAATGAAAAAAATCCCGCCAAAATTTCCCGCGAAACCGCCTCTTGTCTCAAAATTCATTTTATATCCCGGCATGGCGCCAAAATACAACATACTCATCATATACATATATTCATATTTTTTATTATATATTTATAATCAGCATATATCTCCTTTAATAGTCTCATATAGAGCGCTGTGCTAAACGCACCTTTGGACACCCTATATTTATCGCTATTTTATCAAATTCTTTTTATAACAATGTTTTTCGCTATTTTGTGTAATTATTTTCCATTATTTTGTTCGATTTGCTTTCTTTTCATATTTATTATTATTTAATCATGTTCTCTCAATTTTAACGATTGCCCACTTAATATTGCCATCCGAGCAAATTCGATGGAAATTGTCAAATTCTTAGTGGAACATGGTGCAGATGTTAACAAGCCATTTATCCTCTTTCATTTCATATTTATCATTATTTTATGATATTCTCTCAATACTAACAAATACCCACTTAGTGTTGCGATATGCGCAAATTCGATGGAAATTGTCAAATTCTTAGTTGAACATGGTGCAGATGTAAACAAACAACTTATTCTCTTTCTTTTCATATTTGTCTAAGTTTTATTGGATTTCCTTTCTTTTCATATTTATAATTATTTAATGTATTTCTCTTTCTTTTTATATTTGTCATTGTTTTATACGATTCTCCTTCTTTACATGATATTTATTTTTATTTTGTGGTATTTACACTCCTTTTATGTATATCATTATTCTATCTTGTTCTCTTTATACTTTATTGCATTCTTTTTCTTTTCATATTTATCGATGCTTTATCAAATACACATTCTTTTTATATTTATTATTGCTTTATCAAATACTCATTCTTTTGATATTTATCATTGTTTTATGAAATTCATTAAAATCTAAAGAATACCCCCTTAGTATTGCATTCAAGGCAAATTCAATGGATATTATCAAAAACTTAGTCGAACATGGTGCGGATGTTAACAAGCAATTCATTCTCTCTCTTTTGATATTTATTGTTGTTTTATCAAATTAATCATTTATGTATAATGTTATATTTTTATACATATTTATCATTGCTTTATGGCATTCTTTAGATATTAATGAATGCCCACTTAGTATTGCAATCAATGAAAATTCAATAGAAATTGTCGAATTTTTAGTAGAACATGGTGCGGATGTTAACACGATACTAATTCATTTTCTTTTCATATTTATCATGACTTTATCCTATAATCTTTCTATTAATGTTTATAATTATTTTACAGCATTCTACTTCTTTTCATTTCTATCATTGTTTTATACAATTATCTCTCTTTTCATGCATGCCATTGTTTTATACAATTATCTCTCTTTTCATGCATGTCATTGGTTTTTAAAATTCTCTTTCTTTCTATATTTGTCATTGGTTTTTAAAATTCTCTTTTTTTCTATATTTGTCATTGCTTTATGAAATTTCCTTTACTACTATCTTTATCATTGATTAATGGAATTCCCTTTCTTATCAAATTTTTCAATGCTTAATGAAATTCTGTATCTGCTCATATTAATCATTGTTCAATAGAATTCCTTTTCCCTTCATATTAATCATAGTTTTATAATGTTCTCTTTCTTTTTATATTTATCATTGTTTTGTGGAGTCCTTTTTCTTTTCATATTTATCATTGTTTTATAAAATTCACTTCCTTTTCATATTTATCACTGTTTTATAAAATTCCCTTTATTAATATATTTATCGTTAATATATGATATTCTTTTTCTTTCTATATCTCCCATTGTATATTGTGATTATTTTTCATTCCATATCAATCATTGATTAATGCAATTCTTTTTCTCCTCATATTCATCGTTGTTTTATTTGGTTCTTTTTAATTTCAAATTAATTATTGTTTTATCAAATTCTCTTTCTTTTAATGTTTATCATTAAAAAAAAAAGGTAGTGGGGCTTCCAGGCACTTCGTGCCCTCTAGCCCCGAAGATGTTTAGTATAAATGAAGTTTTTATTCGGAAAATTGTTAGTCTTCTGGTGTGAATTCGGAGGACTCTTCTTCTTCCTCCATTGCTTCTGGGAAGAAGCCTTCTTCTGGGTCGAAAACATTATATAATGTGTCGCTTTTCACAAATTATATATGTTTTCATGTTTTGTCACTTTTCTGTCACTTTTCGGGTAAAAACATTTTTATTATTATATATAAATGAATTTTACAAAACCTCCGTTACCGTTCTTTGGAAATAAGAGTAAATGTAAAGATATTATATTGAGAGAACTTAAGAAACTACCGAATGGTCTAACATTTGTAGATTTGTTCGGTGGAAGTTTCTATATATCCCATTTGTGCCATACAATATTCCCAGACTCAAAGATTATATGCAATGACTTCGACAACTATATGGACCGTCTCAAACATATTCCAGACACAAACAATATATTGAAAGAGTTAAAAGAAAAGATACCTATAGGTAAGATGGAACGTATACCATTAGATAAGAAAATATTGTGAGAGAGGTTTTGAAAAAAGCAGAATATATAGACTGGGATAGTATATCTGCTAGACTATTATATAGTGGTTCTATAAGAGTTCATGACATTGAAACACTTATGTCAAAAGTTTTATATCTTAACTATACAAATGTTTTCAAAGAGGACATAGAAAAATATATTGAGGGTATAGAGTTTGTGAGATGTCATTGGACAGAGTTGTATGAAAAATTTAAAGACAAGGAAAATGTTTTCTTTATAGTGGACCGCCGTTCTATAACACATGGGATTTTCAATACCAAGTAGACTGGACTTTGAGAGACTCTTTAGAAACTTTAGACGTTATACATAACCATCCATGCTTTTACTTTACATCCGATAAAAGTGGTTTGGAAACCGTTATGAGATGGTTAGAGGACATACATGACTATGAGTTTAGATATGACAAGATAGAATATGAGAGAGGTCCTATAAACTGGAGAAAGTGTCACAATAAAGAAATTTTATTAGTAAGTAAATGTGGTTTGAAATAGGACTACTTGTTTTAGGTTTTTTCCATTGTGTCATTTATTTATTTGACGTGGCAGAAAAGTACAGAGAATATGAAGATGAACCAATGCCTGCAAATGTTCAGTATATGTACTCGTAAGAGATATTTTTATCTAATATTAAATGGACGTACAGAACTTAGCGAATGCACAGCAACCTGGACAACCAAACCCAGAGAATATTCCAAATGAAGTTAGAATACAAACTGCAATGGCAAACTATGGTCAAGTGCCAACAGATGTACAAATGCAAACTGCCATGTCAAATGACGCTGCG